CTCTAAAAGGTTCAGAAAAAACTATGATAATGGGTATGTACTTACACACACGTATGTAATGTATGCATTGAGACAGAAAGAGAGAGAGGGCAGGTGATGGAACAAATGCAGTAAAAAATTAACAATGGTAGAATCTGAAAGGAGTATTTTAATATAATTTTAAAATATGAAATAAACATGTAACATAGAACACCTAGTTCTAGAGCAGATGATAATCAGTATTATCATTTGGCCACGACACAGAATAAAAACCCTGGCTGAATATATTTACTTATATACCTTCTTTTACAATACTCTGAAGAGATATATTAACAAAGAGGGCAATATTTTTATGCCTATTTGGAGAAGAGCATCTCAGGGTTTTCAAATGAATCTTCCTTTCTCTTCATGGACTTTAAATGGCTATTTTATAGTTCAATGAGAAAAGGAATCCTAACTTACTCATCTTTGTGGTCCCAGCACCTAACACATTTATAATTTTGTCACTGTTCTGTCCTTGAACAGGAATTCTATACTCAATATTGTTCCAGTCAGAAAATACAGTGACCTGATTATCAAGGATTTTGCTACAATGGAAGGGAGAAACTGCCTATGTCAGGTTAAAATATATATGTCAGACTGATCATGTCATATGTATATGTCATACACATATGACATATATATATGCCATACTAAGGATTACCTTTCTTAGAAATTTAGAGGAGGAATAATTATCTTCCCTATAGTCTTAAAAACAGAAGAGTGCATAAACAGTAGCAAAAAGTCTTAGCCTGAAGAATGGCAAACTGTTGACAATTTTTGGTAATAAATAAACAAATAAATAGATTTTTTAGAATACAAATGAGGCTTTTGGTGCAAAGAGTTAACAGTGGAAGACCATCTTAAAAAAAAATGTAAGGGGGTCTGAAAAACGATTAATATGAACCATATCAAATTGCTGGTAAAGCATATATCTATTAATAGATGAGTAAGATAATTTATAAACCTGAAGAAATATATTTTCATTATAGACACCAAAGCTCCCCACGACATTTGGATAGTTGTCAAAATTAAACTAAAAAAAATTTGAAAGCTGAAAAGATTTCATATACCTCGATCCTCTGTCCTTCCTGGAGAATACATATTTTTTAAATATATGTTATAGGCCCTGGGTCCCATTGCTGAACTAGTAAAGAGTTATGTATGCCTGAAGACCTGTTACAGCCAACTATAATACACTTCAGAATTGTCTTTTCAAAGGTTTAAACAACCGAAAATTACATTTTGATAATAATTCATCTGCTTCAGAAAACAAAAGGTACTAATACTTCATAAAATTAGAATCCTTCAATTTAAAGCATTATTAGGAAACAAAAAACTGTTACAACTATATTACAACTTCTTCCTCTTGAGGAGAAATTGTAAGGTCGAATCTTTCCTAGCATACTATAAATAAAACAACATTCAGCATTACTATATAAACCAGAATCTGTATGGCTTTTTCTTTTTCGTTTCTTTTTTTTGTATGGATATAAATACTTCTTACAACAGTTCTAAGAATTTAACGAGATCATGTATGTAAAGCACTTAGCATGGTGGCTAGCAAGAATTAAGCACTCAATAAATAGTATTTGTGTTTGTTTGTTTATTTATTTATTTTTTTTGGTACGTGCCCCCAGCGGGAACCGACCCCGGGACTCTCTGGTCCACAGGCTGACACTCCAACTGCTAAGCCAAACCAGCCAGGGCATGTTTATTCTTATAGAAAGGATGTGAAACAACCCTGAAATATAGTCAAGTGACTTAAAAACCTATTAGAGAAATCTGTAAAAGCAGGTGGATAAAATCATAGTGAAATACCTAGACTTGGCAGATTCAATGAGGAAAGCAATCTTAACTTATTTATCCTTATAGTCCCAGAATCTAACACAGTGCCTGGCATACACATAGGTAGTCAATAAAGGTTTACTGAAATGAAGTGGGTATGACAGTAAGTTATCTGGAAAAGAAAAAAAAAGAGGTAGTCTGAGGTTGTCTGAAAAATAAACTGAGTCCAAAAATTACTATGCCTTAAGCAAGTCACTTTGAGAAAGAAAATAAAATACCTAAGCATTTTTAGAACCATGCATAAAAACTCACCTCAGACTGATCTTTTTAATAATGACTGAGCCAGTCTCAAATTTGTTTTGACAAATGTTTCACATATAAAGTTTAATATTAGAGAGAAGTATTTTTGAATTTCATCTAAAAAAAAGTGTTATGTGCATCCTCAAAGGTGGAAAAAGTACCCAAAGCACCAAGGAAGCTTTTCTAACTTTCAGTCAAGGAGAATCAGATAAAGTTAATTCATAGTTCTTCCATCTACTTATACATGAAAATTAGCTTAAACTTTTACCTACAAGTTATAAACACACATATTTCACTTTCACAAGTTCAAGTATACACCCCAGAAAAGAAAAAATAAATTCTATCAAAAGTGGGCAGTACTACAGAGGTATAAAAGAATATCTAACAAAACTCTCCCATGTCTCAGCAGTCACCTGTCAGAGCCTACACTTAGGCACAGTCTGCTCAGTTTCAGAAACCCCTGGTATTGAAAACTCAAAATTCCCAGTGCAGTGGGCAAGGGGAAAGTATAATATGAAAATATAGTCCTATCTTCCATACCCTACCTCCAAGAATAATAGAGATCTGTGGACTTAAAAAAAAAAAAAGTTTTCCAAGTTATTGCCCATCACCTCACTACAGCATCACACTATTCTTTTTTTCCAACCTGGGTATGCTTCCTAACGGGGAATGGAACCTGAGATACTTCCGTGCACTGGGAGGACACTCCAACCAAATGAGTCACTCTTATTTAGAAACTGATCAGTTTTACAAAAGGCACACTTAATAATACACTCAACTCTATACAGTGCTTAGTTTCTGAACCTAGTCAGTTAAGTATATTTCCAGAGAGACATCTCCTGAGCCTACTTCACACTAAAATCTGTGAACAGTATGAACTTACAAATCAAGGAACAGTCCCAAATCAACTGCTTGAAGGAGGTTTTGAAAGTAAACAAACAAAAAATCATTAAATACATCTACCTTTAACAAAACGTTTTCAGGAAAAAAACAAGAACAACGCTAACAGTTAACCTTACAGAACAGTTTACAGAATAACAAAAAACCTGCAATCCACAGAGTAAAATTATTCTTAAATTATCATTTGCTTCCTATAGTGCCTTGAAAAGTATCAAATGCATGAAGGCACATAAGAGCTATTGTCCAGTCACTGACAGCATTACAATTATTTTTAAATCTAATTTTTGCAGTGGCAGTTTAAAAAAGCAAATCAAATTTGCCGAGTCCAAAATCTGGAAATACACAGTTAAAAAGCAGTAAGGTCATAGCACCCAGGTGTGTAACATCTGTAGGTGGTTGATCCAAATGAGTTAAAAAAAAAAAAGCCCACTTGGAAATAAGGATTTAAAATAATATCAAATATAATCTGGTACAATCTTTAAAACTCACTTAAGTGGTTAAGTGTTTTTTACCACTAACAAAACAAAACCGGCCAATACAAAGATTTTCACATCATACACACACATTGTAAATTAACAACTAAATGTAATTCCAAAACACATTTGAAACATCAGACTTTTGTTTTCACATTCATTTCTCAAATTTACTATTAAAGCTCTTATGGAATGGGTATTTATTTCAACACAAGATTGTTCAATATGCCATTCCGTGTGAATAGAGCTTGTGAGACTAATTCTCAGAACCTCCCCAGGAGATGCTTAATTACAGCTCTAGTTCCAATTTCCTGTGACTCAAAACAGCAACGTAGAGAAAACAGCTTATATACAGAAAACCTCCCTTAGGAAGGGAGAGGAATGAAGGTCCAAGGAGAGAGGCCCATTCTTTTGTTTAGATGACAAAAGCTGCAAAAATAAAGGTTCACAACAGCCATCTGCACCTATCCCCACCCATCACAGCCCTGCAGAGCACTTTCTTCCATCCAACACTAGCCTTCAAGATCGGCAGGCTTTCCTGTCCTCGAGATCCCGGGGCTTTCCACATCCCAAAAGATGGGCAAGGGAGGCTGTGAGGTCTGGGGTACAGAAAGAAAAAGAAGGGCACATCCTTTGAGGACAGTGACAAGGAGAGGCATCCAGAATGGGGAGGATGGGACGCGCCTCCGAGACCCGGTGGCTTGCAAATTCGCTGGGAGAAAAGCCCCATGGGGCAGAGAACGCTGCCGGTTCAGGAATGGGGACTGACGGACAATCTTCCCCAAGAATGGGGGGGGCGTATCTGTAGGAGACCCGGAGGGCGTGAACTAGGCAGCGCTGAACTCGGAGCCCCAAATGGGTTGAGACAGCCTCAAACAGACCCGTACCGCGAAGCTGAGACTTACGGTTACTTCCCCGGCTGAGGGTAAGGGTCGGATTGACCCCGCAGCTCTGCAACCGCCGTAACCGCCCCTGTCTCTCCGGCGGAGTCGGTGACCTCAGGTACCCTCCCCGCCCCACCCACCCGGGCGCCCCCCACTCGCCGGCCCGGGTGCGCTCGCGGGGCGGAGGCTGCTGGGGCCGAGGGTGCGCACTGGAGACCCGCGGGAAAGCGGCGCGAGCCGGAGGAGCCCGCGGCGAGGCTCAGAGACGGCGGGCGCCCCCCATCCCTCTCCGGCCGCCGCGCCGCCTCACTCGCGGGAGGGGAAGAGGGGGCGGTGGCTCTCTCCTCCGCCTCGCGGTCAAGTCTGGCTCATGCTCCAGCCTTGCGCGCGCGCGCGAACAGCCTCAGCCGCCCTCCTCCCCTCCCCCGCCTCCCGCTCAGCCGCTGGGGCACCCACCGCCAACACCCCAGCCCCGGAGCCAACCGCCACCAGCCCCAGAAAGCCTGCAGCCCCAGGGAGCAGCGGCAGGTACGGCAGCAGCTCGGCTGCCGACCCGGAAGCTCTTTCGCCGCCACCCGCGAGGCTGCCAGGGGTGTGAACCCGGAAGCGATTTCCTCGCCCCGGTAGCGGCAGGATGGGAAGCTAAGGCCTTTAAAGATTTGGAATCCGCTGGTTTCGGGAGAGGGTGAGGGGTATATGGTGTTGAGGTGCGAAAAGAGGGAAGGATAATAAAGAGCCTTTGGGCAAGAGGTTCTCCGGGTCCAGACCCCAGAGCTCTCGAGGCGCCGAGTAGGGAGCGCGGCCGAACCCGTCCGGCAACTTCGGGGGGCGACCGAGGGTTTTCCTGCCACAGGAAGTTGGGCCCCGGCGCTGGGAAATAGAAGGGAAGGAGGAATGAGAAAGCCGTGACGGTTCCCCGCCCCCAGGTGACCGTCCCATCCAGTGGATTGAATGTAGCGGCCTGGGAAGTGCTCGGCCGCCCGCACGGGTGAGACCAGGGACCAGGAGCTGCAAGATCCAGACTCCAGCGAGAAAACAGGTGGGAGGCTGAGCTATCTCCACATCTAGTTTCTCCAGGCAAGGAATTGATTTCTTTCTTCACAGTAGTTACAAAGAAGCCAAAGCTGCTTTGTGGGTGGCAGCTCTTTGAGCAAAGAGGCGTGCACATCCTTCCCTGGTAATGGACGTTGATGTGTGGGGGGAGGGAAAACCTCCTAGACAGTGTTTATTTTTGTCATTTCAGGGAAAGCTATTCACAGCATGTCATGCCAGCTCACCTCTCCTCCCTACACCTCTCTCCAGCTTTTAAGGCTTTTCGGCTTTCTTTGCTTTTTCTCCACGTTGCTTTTAATTTCACCAGATGCCTTTGATCTAGCTGGTCCGACTCAGTATCTGGTTTCTATTCCTCTTTCACTCTTGGAGAGTTTATGTGTCTTCACAGTTTCTCCCTTCATCTCGTCTTTTAACTGCTTTGCTGGCCTCATCTTATTTGGCGGAAATGTCCAAACTTCAAAAATGTTTTCATAACAGTATAAAACTGTTCATTCAATGATCTTTTTCTCTTAACCCCATGTTAATGTTTTAGTTGGTTCCCCCTTAAATCGGTAATAGAACTACGGTAACAACTAATATATAGCGTATTTAGATATTACCAGGGATGAAATCATTCTTCCCAAATAACGTCATTAAATGTACTTGGTGTTCACTGTAGGAATTCACTTGGTTCCCAATTCCAGTTATTACTTAGTTCCTTCTCTGTTAGCCAGATGTAGGACAAATGTCTTCAAGTTATTTGAAGATTTTTAAATATCGAAAATTGCAGAATATCACTTAACATAGAGTTTTAAAATTATCGGTGACGCTTGTTAATATTGATAAGTGACGATTGATTGAAGGGCAAGCTGAGGTAGAAGAAGCACTAAATGGGTATTTTCTATTCTGCTTTATTATTACTTCCTCTGTTTTTATTGCCATAAACCAGTTTAAGTAGCTAAAGAATGAGGTTTTTATGATTTAAAAAAGAAATCCCTGCAGGGGAATTATTTATATTTAGTTTCCATCTCTTCTCTTTAATATTATAATGCTTTAAAATGGTGAATTTGGCCCCGCCGGTGTGGCTTAGTGGATTGAGGTTGTCCCATGGACTGAGGTCCTGTTTCGATTTCCATGTGGGGCACATGCCCTGGTTGCCGGCTCAATCCCCAGTAGGGGGCGTGTAGGAGGCAGCTAATGGATGTATCTCACATCAATGCTTCTCTCTCTCTCTCCCGTCCTCTCTCTATATTTTAAAAAAATTAATAAATAAATACATATTTTTTAAGGAAAAATAGTGGATCTGTTTCAGGAGAATGGGGAGAGGGCAAGTAACTTAGCCACTCTACCTCAGTTTTTTCTTCTGTAAAATGGGGATAATGATCATCAGGTTTGGGGGAGAATAAAATGAGTTAATGTATGGAAGGCACTTAGCACAGTGTCTAGCACATAATAAGTACTGTAGGTGTTAACTATTATAGTATTTTAAAAGCATAGTAAATGTTATATATCGAAATGAAAGCAATTAAAACTTAAAGACAATTTGATAAAAATCATTTTGGCTGGTGGGGATAAAAATAAAATGCATTTTTTTATTAGTGATTTTCAACTATGGACAGTAAGGTTTTTGGGTGCTTTGGTTATTTAAAGTTGGCATAGGTTTGTTTGTTTTTTTAATCCTGACTAAAGGATATTTTTTATTGATTTTAGAGAGAGGAAGGGAGAAGAGGGGGAGAGAGAGAAATATTGTTGTGAGAGAGAAACATCAATTGGCTGCCTTCTCTATGGTGCCCCTAGTGGGAATGGAAACTGCAACCTGGGCATGTACCCTGACTAGGAATCAAACCCACCACCGTTCGGAGTGTGGGATAATGCTCCAGCCAACCAAGCCACACTGGCCAACGCTTGGCATGGTTTTTAGAAGGTTGAGAACCATTGCTTAAGGATGGAGGAAAGGGGGTACTTTTTTTTGGTCTCAGGAACATCTTACAGAGCCCTAAGGTGATGCTTCGTTTTTTTGTTGTTTTGTTTTTATTTTTGAAGATATATGTTCTGATTGTTGGTAATTTCTATTCACATGTACTTTGAAACTGGTAAATAAATTATCCTGTTGACTTTGGCTTCTGATACTAAATTTATGATCCTGATATTCACTTACTGAATCTTCTCCTTCTGCATTGCAAAAGTCCTTTTAAGTTTGTATATCTGTACTCTACATAGCAGATGTTTCTTGTTAAGACATTGGCACTGTATTAAACGAGACTGCCTGGCATAGTAATGAGATGTTAACCTGTGCATTAGGGACTAAATGGCATTTATATACAGCTTCCCTCTCTCAGTCATAGTGACAATCAGAAATGTCCCTACATATTTTCAAATGATCCCAATTAGGTACTTTTTGGGTGGCAGCTTTGATCAAAGGGGCATGCATGTCCTTTCCTAGTAGTTGATGTTGATGGGTGGTTCCCCAGTTGAGAACCACTTCTGCATTTTTGTTAAAGCCTCATAACTTAGGCACATACTGTATCATCATTTATGCCTAAGTATTTTCCAGAATAGAATTAACCATATAACAAAATGCCACATAATTCCTATATTTAATAACTTGAGCCCTAATTTAAAACTCGGTCTAAGCATATTGCAAATTCTAGTTATGCCTTTATTATTTTTAGCTAAAGTTCCTCTCCCTGTCCTTTTGCATGCCTTAGCAATTTTGCCTTCATATATTAGTAGCTTTTATTTTTTTTCTTAACTTAAGCCTCTGTTTCCTTTTTTTTTTTTTCATGCCATTGGGAGTATGTATATTTCAAATATTCGAGTGTGAATGTTTCTTCAAAATCAATTTTTAGAATGTTTTTGGGTTAACATTAAATGATGTAAAAACAAAATACTATAACCCTCATAACTGTGTCTTTTATTATATCATATCTGTTTATCTTTTAGAGAAGTGATGAGCATTGATAAAGCATTTAGCTTCTAGGTTTTTTTTCCTAATATGAGTTGACCAGGAATTTATTTGCTTTAAATTGTGTTTAGAAAACTAAGAATTACTTGTTTTCTCTTTTGGGTGCTCAATAGAAAAATTTAAAAGGTTTCTGTAATTGTGCCATGTACATATTCACAAGACAATTTCTTTTGAGGGTTTGTAGTCTTCAAGGAGACACCCATACATTTCATAATTTGTGAAGTTTCATTATCTTGAAGTCATTTTTAATCTGACTCGGTGTGTCCCTTTCACATCGATGTTTCTCTCTCTGTCTCTCTCTCTCTCTCCCCCTCCCTCCCACTCTATCTGAACAAAAAATGGAAAAATGTCCTCGGGTGAAGGTTAAAAAAAAAAAAAAAAGGAATGACCTCATAGAAAACTGAACTGAAAAAATTCTGAGATATAGAGTGAGAATGAATGACATGTCTTCAAAATGAATGTCTCAATCTTAATGTTTTACTATAGCTTCTCTAGTGAAATATTTGTAGTTTCACTGCATCTAATTAGGTGAAAGTTTTTATAATTTAAAATATAAAATAAAGTTTAGATTATTTAGTAATTTAAATGATACATTTTTGTGCAGTAATTTTAATGGTTGTTTTAGTGGTAGGCTAATGTTTACTTAAAGTGACAAAAGTGGCTGGATTTTATTTATTTATTTATCCTCACCCGAGGACATATTTTGTTCAGATAGAGTGGGAAGGAGAGAGAGAGAGAGAGAGAAACATCCACGTGAAAGGGACACATTGAGTGGTTGCCACCCACACGACCCAACCAGGGCCAGGGACAAACTGCAACCGAGGTACGCGCCCTTAGCGGGAACCAAACCCAGGTCTCTCTGGACTGCAGGCCGATGCTCCAACCACTGAGCCAAACCGGCCAGGGCAGAAGTGACTGGATTTTAAAATAATTTATTTTTAAGGAAAGTTTCATATTATAGGGCTTTTTTTGTTTTGTTATATAGGAAGGCAAATAAAAAATTCTTCTATCTCCTCTCAAATGACATTCAAAAACCTTTCTTGAAAATGATCTTTTTCTCTCTATGAGATTTGGAGCCATAAAGAACTCATTAAATATGAACAGATCATTTTAATACCTAATGGACTTAAAATAAATGGAGAACTTTCATCTCAACATGACTGGGGAACTTCTTGTTTGATGTTCTTTTAGATATTTGCTGCCCTGGCTGGTGTGGCTCAATTGGTTGGAGATTCATTCTGTACATCAGAAAGTGGCTGGTTAGATCCTGGTCAGGGCGAGTGTGGTAGATGTTTCTCTCTCTCTCCCCCCCTCCCTCCCCTCTCTCCTCCTCCCCCCTCTCTAAAAATCAATTAAAAAATAAAATACAATGTTTGCATTTAAAAACAAAAATTTGCTGGCATGTAAATGAGAGAAAACTTTTAAAAATATAAATAAAATATATTCAATACAAAGAGATGCATTTTAGTCTAGCCATGAAAAAATTTAATAATAGCACTTAATGAAATGGAACTATTAAACAACCAAGAGAATGCTTAAAATTCACTTACTCATAGCTCAGTGGTTAGAGTATTGGCTCACAGATCAAAGGGTCACAGGTTCGAGTCCCAGTCAAGGGCACGTACCTGGGTCGCAGGTTCAATCCCCAGCTATGGTCTGTGGTCAGTCCCGGCGCATGCAGTAGGCAACCAATCTATGTGTGTGTCTCTCCCGCCTCCCCCCTTTTACTCTCTCTAAAACTCAATGGAAAAAATATCCTCCTGTGAGGATTAACAACAACAACAAAAAGTGTCTGGGGAGAAAAGTGTGCATATATATCTATATCTATATAGACATATATGTGTGTGTATATAGATATATACATCTATATATATATATTTGGAGGAAAAAACTTTGTATTACCTAGAGAATTGATGAGAGTGGAAAATATGTTTCCATATTTCAGAATGCTTTTATTGACTAACCAAATGTTTTTGACTGTGGTAGGCACCTCCAAAGGAAATTATAAATTATACTTTAGCTCATCCAAATGTCACATATCAAAGATCTCTCTAAAGATTCTGAAAAGGCCCTGGTCGATTTTGCTCAGTGGTTAAGAGTGTTGGCCCGCGGACCAGAGTTTTTGGTTCCCGCTAAGGGCACGTACCCCGGTTACAGTTTGTCCCCGGCCCCTGTTGGGGTCCTGTGGGTGGCAGCCAGTCATTGTGTCTCTCACATCGATGTTTCTCTCTCCCTCTTCCTCCCTCTCTCCCTCCTGCTCTGTCTGAAGATAAATGCAGAAAATGTCACTGGCAGCTACCTTATTCCAGCTTCCAAGCAACATTCACTTGTACAATTTATGGAAAATAAGTGTTTAATATTCTGAATCACTATTTCAAGTCAATATTTACTTAGTATTTACAGGACATTTTTATAATCATTTCACTCTTTAAAATATAAAAAGTAGATTTTTAGCACTTAGGACTTCTGAAAAATATGTATCCCCACTAATTTTTTTTTTTTTTTTTTTTACCTTTAACAGAAAAGGAAAAAGGACTACAAGGAAGTCTTAAATTATAAGCTAAGGTTATGAGCCTGACCGGTGTGGCTCAGTGGTTGAGCATTGACCCATGCACCAAGAGGTCACCGGTTTGATTCCTGGTCAGAGCACATGCCAAGGTTGTGGGCCTGATTCCCAGTAGAAGGCATGCAGGAGGCAGCCAGTCAGTGTTCTCTGTCATCAGTGCTTCTATTTCTCTCTCCCTCTCCCTTCCTCTCTCTAAAATCAATAAAGAAAAAAATAAATAAATAAAAAAGCTAAGGTTTTGAATAGTTAGATACGATCAGTCATCTCTGGCTTGTCTTTTAGGTAATATGTATATACTAAGACAGAAAAATCAACATCTTATTTAGATGTTACAAAGTGATTATGTGTCTTTTAATGTACTTTTTCAAGCTATTTCTTTGTTTGTTTTATAAAGCAATGGGAAATCCAGAAAACATAGAAGATGCATATGTTGCTGTTATTCGTCCAAAGAATATTGCCAGTCTAAATTCCCGGGAATACAAAGCTAAGTCATATGAAGTGAGCACAATTTACTAACATTTGATTTGCTACTATAGAATGTCGTTCTCTGTTACCATTTTCATTTACATATAGTTTAAAAATATCCTGTGAATTCTTGTTGACAACCTAGATCTTGAAAAGCTAGAATTGATAATCCTACATCTCTGCCCATCACTTTTTTGTTGTTGTTTGCAGTATACCTTTTGATCAGTTTTCTCTTCATTGATACATATCAGTTATTAGATATTAAAAGGTACTTGTTTGAGTTTTCCTTATAATTTATAGATTTAATTTTTAATATAATTTATGGAATGGCTCTCAGAATTTTTTAAAAAAATTGTAAAAGCTTATTCAAAATTACACTCTACACATTGTTCTTGGTTATTTTCCAAAAAAAACTATTTTTAAAAGTTCAGTGAAAAGTATCTCTTTACCTTTAGTTAAGTTTTAGGAAATAAGGTTACTTTTCTATCGTCTTCAATTATACAGGGTCGGGCAGAAGAAGAAGGTTTACAGTTTGTATGGAAAATGATATAATAATTAATAAATAATAATAGAAGAATAAACTGTTTGTTTTCCATATTCACAAATGTAAACCTACTTTTGCCCCATCCTGTATTACATATATTAGTAAATGTGACTGGGATAAAAAAACAAAAACAAAAAAACCCCACCAAAAACAGAGTTGTCATCTTTTCTACGCAACAGATTCCAAACATCATAAAATACTTCTAGTCTAACCTTACTCTAGCTAATTTCAGTAACATTTTGCTTAAATTACTTTTTTAGAGTTAGTTACCTGAAACCTATTAAAGGATACTGCAGGGGTTCTCGGGATGCTGCTTTAGCAGTGCTCTGGCATACTGGTTCTCAGTCCTGGCTGCACTGCTGAATCACTTGAAAACATCCAGTACTACGGACCCCACTCCCTAAATATTCTGATTTAGTAGGTCTGAGGTGAAGCTGTTTTAAAAGCTTCCCAGGTTATTCTAATAGGCAGCTGGGGTTAAGAAAGACTGCTGGCTTATTATATTATAGGGCAAGTAAATTTGATTTAAACTTTCTCTTATTATTTTTCTTAAGATTTTATTGCATGAAGTTCCCATTGAAGGACAGAAAAAAAAGAGAAAGAAAGTTTTGTTGGAAACTAAACTTCAAGGCAACAGTGAAATAACACAAGACATACTGGATTATGTAGTAGAAACCACCAAACCAATTTCTCCTGCAAACCAGGGTATCAGAGGTAGGAAACCTTTTTCATTCTTTCTTTCTTTCTTTTTTCTTAACACAGTTGCTTTAAGTGCTTGTGGAAAAAGACATTTAAAATATATTAAAATCAATTTATTTTTATGTTTTATTCCATTTTAAAAACTTGAAAAAGACTCAGAAATTTTTTAAGGTACAGCCAAGCCCCTTGAAGAAGTAACCTGAGAAAAAAAGTAACCTGACTTTAATTTTTGTGTAAGTTGAAAAATATTTAAATCACAGTGTTAGTGATTTGTTCAAAAGAGACGGGACAACCAATAGGTGGCATGAAACTAAGAGAAAGTACAAACTACTTTTGCTAGAAGTATAGTTTCCTAGGTATCTTTGAACTACTATTTTTATTTCTCTACTCCAGGACAGAGAAAACTATAAAGCTCTCTTCATAACTTAGTGAAAGTTAAGATGCATGGATTATAGAGAGTCCTATAAATTACTTGGTAGCAGAGGTTTTCTCCCATTTGGTCACAAAAAGAAAACTTTTCAAAGAGCCAAAGTGAGTTACAGAAGTATTAACCCTGAAAGATTGAGACCCTATTTAAAATGTTAGATAATGTGTAAGCCCTGGCCGGTTTGGCTCAGTGGTTGGAGTGTTGGCCTGCGGAGCAGAGAGTCCCAGGTTTGGTTCCCGCTAGGGGCATGTACTAAAAAAATTAAATAAATAAATAAATAAATAAATAAATAAATAAATAAAATAAAATGTTAGATAATGTATAGCCTGTAAAACTCATTAAAAATTAATGATCAATTTTCTCAGGTCATAACCTCACAAGAAGCAGATAGCAGTTAGAAGTCATAGAAATTATAAACTGTGTCGAAGGTTTAGGCATTACAATTAGAAAGGTAAAGCTAATTTCAGTTAAAACAGTTGTGAGGTAAAGCATACCTCTTTACAGCTTATTCAGTGTTTTTTCTATTTATTCATCTTTACAGAGATTAGTTGTCTAACTCATCTGTTTCAGTACAAAGACTGTTTTTGTTGCAGAGATAAGGCTGAATCCTGTGGTTTGATTTATTCATTATTTTGGATATTTGTTCTGTAAAGATAGTTAACTGTAAGCCTGTTTTTCATAACTTTTTGAGGTGCCACATTTACCCTATTTTACCTCCACAATAGGGCCTGAAGGGTTTTTGTGGGTTGGGGTTCTAAGCATTGTAACGCAAGATTATAATAAGTACCTGCATAAATTTATAGATCTTTGATATAAATTCTGAGTCCACAAAGAGCATCTCCTTTCTATAGTTATCAGGTTCACTTTTTAATAAAATGATCTAGAGATAGATCTTAACTAAAAGGGGACTATCTTTGTGCGCCAGAAAAATACGTGACTGACAATTTGTCAGTCTTTTCTACTAAATTCTTGGACTTCTCTGATATTTTCATCCAGACTTGTTTTACTGTTGCTAAATTGCCGTAGTTATCAGGATCTATCCTGAGATCAAATTTCTGAAACAAAAGTCCAATGAACCCAAATCACATATTTAAGCTGAGATAGGCAAGTCATAATTGGCTATGAATTAGCCAAATTCCACCACTTGGTCCACTCCCCCAGAAGAAGAGATGAAAGTGATGTCAGTGTTAACAAAAATGTCTCTTGTCCCAGAGAGTTGGGAGTTGGGTAGTTTCTCTTAGCAGAAGTTAAGTGAACAGGCACCCTGAAACATGTCTAGCACAATTATGTCTATATACTTAGTAAAATGTACTAATATTTTTTCTGGTGGCTCTTAATAATAGAAATTAAAATACAGACATTTTACTTAACTAAATAGACAATTATATTAATGAGCCATCCCATATCCTGGCTATCTTAGTCATTTGAGTTTTTCTCTTTTTCTTCTTTTTTTTTTATCCTCACCTGAGGACATTTTCCCATTTTTTTGTTCAGGTAGAGTGGGAAGGAGAGAGAGAGAGAGAGAGAAACATCGACGTGAAGGGACACATCGAGTGGCTGCCACCCGCATGACCGACCAGGGCCAGGGACAAACTGCAACCGAGGTACGCGCCCTCAGCGGGAACTGAACCCAGGTCTCTCAGGACCGCAGGTCAACGCTCTAAGCGCTGAGCCAAACCGGCCAGGGCGAGTTTTTCTAAATGTATGAAATACTTTCATAGATAAATATGATTTCTTATATAAGCATCACATAACAATCACAAATGATTTCATAATAGTAGTGATTGTGTCTTACCTTTTTATGCATGCTATTTATAATTTACGAAACACTACCACATGTACTTATTCATGAAATTACTAGATTGGTCCCATGAGTTGTATATGGTCATTTTCACATCTATAAAATGCAGCCTGACCGGTGTGGCTCAGTGGTTGAGCATCCACCCATGCACTAAGAGGTCACCGGTTCAATTCCCGTTCAGGGCACATGCCCAGGTTGTGGGCCCAATCACCAATGGGGGGGTATGCAGGAGGTGGCCAGTCAGTGTTCACTCTCATCGATGTTTCTGTCTCTCTCCATCTCCCTTCCTCTAACATCATAAAAATTTAAAATAAATAAAATGCAGACATAAGTTGTCACCTGATAAAATAATATTCCCATTAGTGGAGGAGTTAAGATTAGAACCTTCATGTCCCAACTTGTAGTCAGCTCCCCCCACCCCACCTCAGATCTCATAGTTACAGCTATAATTTGCAAAGTAGGCAGTTAAACAATGGAACAACTAGAATTTGGAGAAGTGGCAAAGCAAGAAAGATTACATAGGACAAGACTTCAAGCCAGGCAAAAAGAATATTGCCTCTGGGGGAGGGGGGAATCAGTGGGGGGAAAAGGAGAAGCATCTGTAACAAAAATAAGTTCATTTTAATAAATAAATATAGAAATCCTGGGAAAAAAAAGAATATTGCCTCTGGAATTTATTAGAATGTTATTCTATATCTAACATTTATATTTTATACAAGAATCCATTTTATAAAAAAATTGGGGGCTATAATAATAATGAGCGATAATAATCACAAATATTGACTCTAGTATTTTGGGAATAAATGAAGCTGCTTGAACTCTTATATTATCTACCTGTCCACAAAAGGCATCCAGCCAGGGTCAGGAACAAGGTTCTATTTCTTGGGGTATGGAGATTGGAAGGGGTAATAAAAATTATGCCAAAGGTATCAGAAGATGAGAGATTTTAGAGTACAAGACTTGTAGATTATTATTTATGCCAAATAGGAAAAACAGGTTAAGAATGGTGGTTACAATTCAACACAGTAGTTTGTAGCCCAATCAGATTTTAATAAAAATCAGGAGTTGAGGGCGGAGGTTGAAGATGAAGTGAAAAGGTGCTAAACTTGAAGATTTATAACTTATATATACCACCCTCCTTAGCCAGCTTAGACTGTACTAAAATTTCTTACCATCTACATTGCCACTGAGTGAGGAAGTATATGCCTCTTGAGCCTGCAGGATGCCTTCCTGTTCATCTGTTCTGTCAGCCCTTAGCAGGACAGTTTTTCTTGCTATGCATGGGGAGCTTCGCTTCTGCTGAGTCAAGACCAGGACCATGAGTCTACTGGTTGATTGTCCACAAAATGAATCTTATGAGAATTACCAGTTTTTATTATGGCAAATTGACTTTTTATATTTTAATTCCTCTTACTGCCTTTTTAAAAAAATTCTAATTCTCAAGGTAATTTAAGCCCATTATTTTTTATCTTTACTAATTTTTCAAAAAATGTTTAGGAAAACGAGTGGTATTACTGAAGAAATTTCCTCTGGATGGGGAGAAGATGGGCAGAGAAGCAGCATTATTTATTGTTCCATCGGTTGTCAAAGGTAAAGTTCAAATTTTATCTTACGAATTTTTCTGTGCCTGAGATGCTAAGTTAAAATCTACTGAGGAATTTAGGAATTTGCATTCATAGTTAATACTCTAAGAGTGTGTTATAAAATACATGTTGTTAATTAATGGAAGATGGAAAAATTTGTTATTTAAAGATGTTTTGATTTTAAAGCAGTATTCAGGCTTCTGGACCGAACAATAATGTTTTTGTTTCTGTTTTTAAAAATAGAATAAAGAAGTAGGGAGGGAAACCATAATTGAAACTAAAAGTTGTCAGATTGTGATAAGGGGTTTTTCAAAAGATATGCTATAGGTAGAAAGGAAATAGATATTTAAGTATTTTAGAAAATTAAGTGATTGTTATCAGGACCTGTCTAGTATTTGGGACAAGAAAGTGTCAGTAATAATTTAAAAACATTCTGCCGAACAGCAGTGGCAATATTTAAAGAACTTATATTGCCCTGACCGGTTCTCTCAGTGGTTAGAGCGTCGGCCTGCGGTCCAGAGAGACTCAGGTTCGGTTCCCACTAAGGGCACGTACCTCGGTTGCAGTCTGTCCCCGATCCTGGTTGGGGCATGCAGGTGGCAGCCACTCGATGTGTCCCTTTCACCTCGATGTTTCTCTCTCTCTCTCCCTCCCTCTCCCTCCCTCCCTCCCTCCCTCCTACTCTATCTGAACAAAATATCGAAAAAAGGTCCTCGGGTGAGGATAAAAAAAATAATAAAATAAAGAACTTATATTTAATATGAAATTTTAATTTGAGTCTTTGACATCTAGAATAATAGAAGTATTGAGTTTCAATGCAGACCTTGCAATGCACTAATTTGTGGCCCTGCAAATCACCTCTCTAAGCCTCAGCTGTTTATTTGCAACATAGGTTTCTGCTCCTACTTGGTCCATTGTGCTGGAAGAACTCAGTAAAGTATTAGATGTGAAAATCCCTTTGGAACCTGTACAAAGAGTACTAGCCTCATGTAAGGTAGCAGTAATACTGATTTTATAGTAATGACCCTCTGTGGACATCCCATCAACTTGCTGCTACACATCTATTTTATTTAGTGTGCTCTAGCATTACAGATATACTTTTTTCCCAGCCATACTTAAGTGAAAAAGTTCAGTATTTCATCTTTTTTTAAAATATTTTTTTAATTTATTTTTTAGAGGGAGAGGAAGGGGGAGAGAGAGGTAGAAACATCGATGTGAGAGAGAAACATCGATCGGCTGCCTCCTGCACACCCCTCACTGGGGATCGAGCCTGCATCCCAGGCATGTGCCCTGACCGGGAATCAAATTGGCATCTCTCAGTCCATGGGAGGATGCTCAATCCACTGAACCACCCCGGGCAAAGTTCAGTATTTTAAATGGTGTTGGAAATCTTATTATTCAGAGTTTTATTACATTGTTGAGAAAGAGGAAATAATTTCTTCAATTCTCCAAGATTCTAAATGCTGCATTCACCCAAGTGGATAAGGTCACAGAGCTGCCCATCACTTGAATCCAGGTGTTCTAATTCAAAATCTAAAATAGTTTCTGTTATACTTAATAATTTTCATAAACATACTACAGTCGTCCCTCGTTTATCACGGTTAATCTGTTCCAGACTCTAGCGGTTGCACCTGGCGTTGAAGGTTTCCTCGGGTGCTCGAATACATAGGCCTACAGTCCATACGTACAGTAATTTTAATTTTAATTGTAATACTGGGGTGTATAATTGACTCAGACAACCAAGTGCACACTGTATCATTTTCACTGTCTCAATCAACTTTTTAATGAATGTATTTGAAAAAACTGTGATAGAGTGAAGCTGCAAAAGTTAAAGCATTAAGTGGCGAGGGACAACTGTATATACTTTTAAATAAACACGCATTTGTAAACCATTTATATGATGGCTTAATTTTTCATTTTTCTTTTCCAGATAATACTAAATATACATATACTCCAGGATGCCCAATTTTTTACTGCTTACAAGATATTATGCGAGTCTGTAGTGAATCCAGCACTCACTTTGCTACTCTTACAGCAAGGATGTTAATAGCCTTGGATAAGTAAGAACTGCCATTAAAAATACTTTCTAATAAATCAAATACATGTTGATAGTAGAAATTAGCTCTGATAGATACCAACACTTTCGGAAGAAAATAATGAAATTAATAATATATGTATTAATAAATGCTAAGTTTAAAAAAAATTTATCGAGGTAACACTGGTTAATAACATTATGCAAATTTCAGGTGCACAGCATTATAATTATCTGTATACTCTATTATGTGCTCACAACCCAAAGTCTGGTTTTCTTCCCATATCATATATTTGACCCCTTTTAACCAGTTCACCCTCCCCCTACTTCCCTTTCTCTCTGGTAACTACCATTCTGTTGCCTGTATCTGTGAGTTTGTTTTGTTAATTCATTTGTTGCTTTTTGTTTTATATTCCATATATGAGTGAAATTATAAGGTTTTTGTCTTCTGTCTGACTTACTTCACTTAGAATAATTCTCTCCAGATCCATCATGTTGTGAATGGCAATGTTTCATTGTTTTTTATGGCTGAATAGTATTCCATTCTCTATATATGCCACATCTTTTTTATCCATGTGTTGATGGGCACTTAGGTTATTTCCATGTCTCGGCTTTTGTAAATGAAGCTGCAGTGAACATAAGGGGAACATAAATCTTTACAAATTAGTGTTTTTATATTTTGGGGATAGATACCCAGAAGGGGAATTGCTGGATCATATAGTAGTTCTGTTCTTAATTTTTTTAAGGAACCTCCATACTGTTTTCCATAGTGGCTGCACCAATTTATATTCCTACCAACAGTGCCCGAGGGTTTCTTTTTCCCCACATCCTTGTCAACACTTCTTGTCTTTTTAATAATAGCCATTCTAACAGGTATGAGGTGATATTTCATTGTGGTTTGATTTACAAGAAATGCTAAGTTTTTGAAGTATAATATAAAAATGAAAAACTCCAGAGACAGGATTGTCCTTGTTTGCTTACAACATGTTAATTTTATCTTAAAAAAATGACAGAGACTGCTCTCTCTCTCTCTTTTTTTTTTTTTTGTTAATCGTCACCCGATGGTAATTTTTCTTTAATTTTTACATAGAGTGGAACGGAGGGAGGGGGAAAGAGAGAGAGAGAGAAACATCGATGTGAGAGAGACCCATCAATTGGTTGCCTCCAGCACGAACCCCACCCTACAACCCAGGTACATGCCCTTTACTGGGAACCCAAGACCCTTTGATTTTCAAGCCCATACTCTAACCACTGAGCAAAACTGGCTTGGGCAAGACTGCCTTGTCTTAATTAAGACTACTTTGTTATAAAACTAGATTTAATATTGAGTTACTCTCCTCAGTGAACAAGTTTTTAACCTATCATCCTTTGTCTTTTTGTAATAATAGGGCTTTAAATTTTAAAAGTGCTTTGTGTTTATTGAAAGGGGTTTTTATTATTATAAGGGTATATGCATTTTTTAAAGTAATTTGCTCTGTCTATTAAAAATTTTATTAACCCTGGCCGGTTTGGCTCAGTGGTTAGAGCGTCGGCCTGTGGTCCTGAGAGACCCGGGTTCGGTTCCCGTTAAGGGCATGTACCTTGGTTGCAGTTTCTCCCCAGCTCTGATCAGTCGTGCGGGTGGCAGCCACTCGATGTGTTCCTTTCACATCGATGTTTCTCTCTCTCTCTCTCTGTTCCTCTCTCTCCCTCCCACTCTACCTGAACAAAAAATGGAAAAATGTCCTCGGGTGAGGATAAAAAAAAAAAATTTTATTAATAGTAAATGATGTACTTAACCAACATTAATTAAAATTATAAAGATCTGAATATTAGAAAGTATCACATATCAGAATTGGAAAAGTATTCTACTTTTATCTTTTTTTTATCCTCACCCGAGGACATTTTTCCACTTTTTATTCAGATAGAATGGGAAGAGAGAGAGAAAGAGAGAAACATCGACATGAAAGGGACACATCGAGTGGCTGCCTCCCACATGACCCAACCAGGGCCGGGGACAAACTGCAACCGAGATATGTGTCCGTAGCGGGAACCAAACCCGGGTCTCTCTGGACCGCGGGCTGACGCTCTAACCTCTGAGCCAAACCGGTCAGGGCTCTACTTTTATCTTTACTTTTAAACAAACACTTCATCTACTATCTCTTCTTTCTGTTTTGCCAGGTGGTTAGATGAACGTCATGCACAATCTCACTTTATTCCAGCCTTATTTCGACCATCTCCTCTTGAGCGGATAAAAGCTAATATCATAAATCCTGCATATGCTACTGAATCAGGTCAGACAGAAAACTCACTACATATGGGCTATAGTGCACTAGAAATAAAGAGCAAAATGTTAGCCCTAGAGAAAGCAGATACCTGTATTTACAACCCTTTGTTTGGATCAGATCTTCAATATACAAACCGGGTAAGAAATGAGTTTTGGCTCTGATTTCAAAAGCCATTTAATCTCAAGTGTAATGTTTTCTCCCTGAGATAAAGGCGTCTATTACTAACTATAAATATTAAGGTGACATCCATACTTAGCTCTATTTGTATATATTAAAGTCAAGTATCTAAAGCTCTTAAAGTTTTTTTCTGTTTTGTTTTATTTTCCCTTTCTAGGTTGATAAAGTGGTAATAAATCCATACTTTGGTCTAGGAGCTCCAGACTACTCAAAAATCCAAATTCCCAAACAGGAAAAATGGCAGAGAAGCATGAGCAGTGTCACAGAAGACAAGTACTGTTTTAGTTTTATTCCACATTGCTTTTTTAAAATTATATTCTACCGTTATATTGTTTAAAATGATATGTACAATTAATATGTAATATAATCATTGTGTAAGTGATTTAGTTTGTAGCTGCTCAGTGATATATAGCTTTCAATTTGTTTTTATGAATAGGGAACGACCGTGGGTAGATGATTTTCCTCTTCATCGAAGTGCCTGTGAAGGAGATTCAGAATTATTAACTCGTCTTCTCAATGAAAGATTTTCAGTCAACCAGTTAGATAATGACCACTGGGCACCCATTCATTATGCATGCTGGTAAATAGATTACTTATTATTTTCCTTTTAGAAAGAATGAATTCTTAATTATAAATGTTAGTGCTCCTTTTCAAAACTATTCTCATTCCAGCCACTTCTTTTCTACCATATTTGTCTTATGAGCTTTCTATTTAGATCTTTGATTACGTATATGTGCCTTTATTCAGAATTGCTAGGTCTGCCCCATGGTAAAAGTATATAGTTAGTGCTCTCAGGCATTACCAGGTCATACAGAAGGATGGCTAATGACTAGAAAGTGTCATTGCACAGCACAAGGACCCTTATTTATCCTTGCAATTTTTATTGTTTTGTATTGGAGATATGTTATATTTGTTTATCCTTACTATAAAATTTACGTGTTAATTGCTTATGATTTGACCTTGCATTATGTTAACAAAGTATCCTTTTAGTTCTTTGGGATACTGTGGTATCAGGAAACACAAAACACCTTTATTAGAATCAATGCCTTCTTTTTTTTTTTATGAGAGATAAGGTCACAGGATTGAGTTTAGCTCTTTCCACTAGTTGCCTACTGTAGGTCCTGCTCACCTACTCGTCTCACATGATAGTAATTCTTCCCCTCAGTTGGGCAGAGTTCTTGTATTTGTGTTCATAGCAGTAGTTAACCATTTGCTATAGCCCATCCTTTAGAGAGGATGTAATAAAGTTATTTACCACTATTTTTTATGGAAAAGTTGCTTTTGACTTATTGGTTAAGTGAACTTTTTTGGCTCATTTAAGAAGTGCCTATATTATTTACTGCTTGTTAAATGTCCACACTTAGCTATATGACATTGAGCATGGTACTTCACTTCACCATCTTTGCCTCTCAGGTTTTTATAACCTATATGTAAAATGCATTAATTAGATAATTTCTAGAGTTCTTTTTAGCTCAAATTCTTTTGGTTTCACTGATTCCAACATTTGTGTTCAAGAAGATAAATTTAGTTGCTTTAAATATACATCTTTTCTCCCCCTAAAATAGACCATTTCCTTAAAAATATGCTCCTTTGTTCAGTAAATATGCTCTTAATGTTTTTCTTCTTAAAAATATGCTTCTTTATTCTATACATGTGTTCTTTTTATTATTAAATTATTTTATTTCATTTTTAATTTTTTAAAAATATTTTTAATTGATTTTCGAGAGAGAGGAAGGGAGAAGAAGAGAGATAGAAACATCAGTGAGAGAAAAACATCCATCAGCTGCCCCCTCCTTGCCCCCCGCTAGGGATTGAGCCATCAACCCCGACATGTGCCCTGATGAAGTCTAACCAGCGACCAAACCTACATTTTTTTTTTTTAATCCTCATCTGAGGACTTTTTCCATATGTTGTTCAGATACAGTGGGAGGAAAAGAGAGAGAGAGAAACATCGACTTGAAAGGGACACATCAAGTGGTTGCCACCCGCACGACTCAACCAGGGCCGGGGACAAACTGCAACCCGAGGTACGTGCCCTTAGCAGGAACTGAACCCGGGTCTCTCTGGACCACAGGCCGACGCTCTAACTGCTGAACCAAACTGGCCAGGGCCAAGCCTGCATTTTTAATTGCCCACTGAACTATTTTAGTCACATTTTTTGTGCATAAGACAGTTTAGAAAATGCGAAGATACCTACCCTCAAGGAATGTCCAGGCTGATAGAGAAGAAATGCCTATAAACAAGGGTAAAAGTAGATAAAATGAAGTCCCATAAAAGAAGAAAAAATAAAATGCTAAATGGAGTCAGAAAATGGAAGAGGTAGAGTTTAAACTGTTTCAGAGAAATAATAGAGTTTAACATGAGCAAAAAGTCACATGAATAAAAAGTAGTAGGACATAAGTGGCAGGTTCAGGGCATAGGAAAACCATAGGGTATGTGAGGAGGAAGAAGGGAAATTTGAGGGCAGATCAGATCAGTTTTGAAGATGTATCAATTTCCCCTCAAATGCACCATATCTAAAAACAAATTTTCTTTCCTCTTCCCCCCTCCCACCCATGTATTTCCAAAGAATGAATTACTTTTTCACCAGTCCTTCAAACTAAACCCTTACGTAAGTGTTTGGCTATAACCAAATGTTAGACTCACTATGGCTGGCACATGTTTTCTACTTTTCTGGGTCCTTGCTTTCTTATTTCTTTCCCACTACCTAAAATATTTTACCTCTCTTCAGTATCTCTTCAGTTCATTCCTGTTTAAAATCTGGTTCAAATTGTTCATCTCTCAAAACTCGTTATAGGACCATCTTAGACTGAAATAATCATCTCCCTTTTCCAATGTTTTTTAAAGCATTAATTATATACTATCTTGATTTGACAAGTATATAGGTACCTTATTTTGTTGGTTGGGATCCTAAACTGTTACTTAAATTTTAGAGCATTATATAACTATCCCATGTTTTTGTTTGACTTCTCTGATTACATTATACTCCTTTATCAGAGGAGAGAGTGTATTTTACATATCTTTGTGTGTCACACATTACCCAGTATAACAGCTACATACAGAATTATGTCTTTGGGCCTAGTTTTTAAATCAGAGTAAGGCCTTTGTGAAAAACATTAAGTATATGACTTACCTTCTGATTCTGAAATTTTTTTTTTTAAATCCTCACCTGAGGATATATTTTTATTTATCTTGAGGTAGAGAGAGAGGGAGAGAAAGGGAGAGAGAGAGGAACATCAACATGAGAGGGACACATCAACTGGTTAACCTCCTGCATGACCCTAACCAGGGCCAGCGCGAACCACAACCGAGGTACGTGCCCTTGGCTGGAATCGGACCCAGGACTCATTAGTCTGCGGACCAACAATCTACCACTGAGCCAAACCAGCCAGGGCTGATTCTGAACAAATTTTTGACTAAAACTTCTATCTCTATATAATTTTTGGACTTTACTTTCTGTGCTATATCTTTTGTTTGAGGTTATGTTTTCAAGTTGATCAGAAGTAAACACTGTTGAACTGAACCAGAATAATTCATAAGAAATCAGTCCGTAGGTACTGAAAATATTTGTCAGTATCTTAATCCCTTGCTCTCTGCCTAGAAAAATCTTAGATTTCTTTGAGATATCTTCTGAAATTTGTAGTTTACATATGACTTTTTTAGGTGCTTTTTTATATTTTTAGGCTTGGAAAAGTTGAAGCCACTCGCATATTGTTAGAGAAAGGAAAGTGCAATCCAAACCTTTTAAATGGACATCTTAGTTCTCCTCTTCATTTTGCTGCTGGAGGAGGACATGCTGAAATAGTACAGATTCTCTTAAACCATCCAGAAGTTGACAGAGTAAGTTATTTTCCAGATTTTTTTTTAATGTTTGAGCAGTGAATAACAAGTAACGACACTAAAATTTTCAATAGTATATTTGAGAGCTTAGCTGAAAAACAAAAACAAATTTCACTTACTATATAGAATAAGTATTATGTATAAGCTTTGCCTTTCTACATAAACATGTTTTATTGTGGTACAATATGCCTTGCATAAAATTTACCATTTAAGCCATTTTTAGTTATACAGTTCAGTGGCATTGTGTACATTCATATTACTGTGCAGTCTTTACCACTATCCATCTTCAGAATGTACATAAAATTTCCCCTCTCTTCATTTTGTATTGTATTTATATAAAATTTATTTAAGAGTGAAAAAGATTTCCTACCCACTTTCTAGAATTTGTATTAACAAATTTTGTGAAGGGAAAAATACTAGTTTTAAAACCTTTGTTGTATTTATAATCAGAACTTTAAAAAAATAATAATCACATTGATTAGTGCTTTAAGTCTTTCATATTTGGCAATTCATATTTATTTTAAGTATAGCATATTCTAAGTATGGTTAATATTTACTCGCTACTTGAGAAGAGTCTTTTTTAATCAAACTTTGATATTTTCCCTTAGATTGCCATATATTTATAATGCTTTTTATCTTCTTTTTCCCCACATTTTTAGCACATAACAGACCAACAAGGAAAATCCCCCTTAAATATTTGTGAAGAAAACAAACAAAATAATTGGGAAGAAACTGCAAAATTGTTGAAGGAAGCCATTAACAAACCAGTAAGATTTATCTTCATAGTAGAGCCATGCATCCTACTTAAATTGATAAGTAATTTGTGGATCTATGGAAAGAGTGGAAGGATGAATGGATGAATGGCTGCTTTACTGCTTTTATAAAATTCCATGGTTAGACTTCATAAGTATTAAATTTGTTACCATCCATAACACTTGGACATTAAACAAAATTAAACTTGCATAAATAAACCTTTTAATCACTTAAAATTAATCTTATTTCCAGTATAATCTCTATACTTGGTGTGCTAATTACAAATTGTTATCTGTTCATTGAAGTATATGTCTCTATTTAGACCTTCTCAGTAATATTTTATATTTGTAAATACTGACATTAACATCATTCATTAATTTAGTTTCAGCAAGTTACTTATCTATTATAGATTCATTTTCCTCTTCAAGAAAGTGAATGGTTTAAAATAGGAGATTCCCTAGCATTTTTGTTCTGCCTATTTAACCTGGCCTTTCCATCTAATTGTGTCCAAAATAATTAGCAGTGACATTAGGGTAGATAAGATTTAACAATTAGAAAAAACTCAATCCTAAAAATTATAGCGATGATAAATCTTTCATCAATTTAAAAACAGTTTGAGCCCTGGCTGGTTTGGCTCAGTGGTAGAGTGTTGGCCCACGGACCAATGAGTCCCAGGTTCAATTCCAGCCAAGGGCACATACCTAGGTTGTGGTTCGTCCCCTGCCCTGGTCAGGGTAATGTGGGAGGCAACCAATCGATGTGTCTCTCTCATGTCGATATTTCTCTTTCTCTCTTCCTTTTTCTCCCTCTCTCTTTACCTGAAGATAAATAGAAAAATATCTTCAAGTGAGGATAAAAAAAAACAGTTTGAAAACTTGCAAATCAGATAAAAAGGATTCATACCAATAGATATAATAGTATAAAAGTTTGATACCAACAGATATAACCCATATGTCTGAGCCTTTCCAGACATTCCCAAAACTAGACAATAAGCCTTTGTTGAGTAATTCTGTGAATTTAACACCATGAAATGCTGAAAGTGGTAAGTGATAAAGGATATATGATCTCTCTCTTTAAGGATAATTATACACTCATACACATTTTTCAAAACACTATCCATGAGCACAAGGGCATGAAAATAGATAAGTGGTATAGGCACCCTTATGTTATACTTCATTGCAATTTATTTTCTAATTGTATAGTTAAAACACTTTTTTTCTTGGCTTACTTTTTCTCTCTCTTTTTTTTTATCCTCACCCGAGGACATTTTTCCATTTTTTGTTCAGATAGAGTGGAAGGGGGAGAGAGAGAAAGAGAGAGAGAGAAACATCGATGTGAAAGGGACACATCAAGTGGTTGCCATGCGCACGACCCAACCAGGGCCGGGGACAAACTGCAGCCGAGGTACATGCCCTTAGCGGGAACCGAACCTGGGTCTCTCTGGACCACAGGCCGACGCTCTAACCACTGAGCAAAACCGGCCAGGACTTGGCTTACTTTTTATATTGCAGTGTATAGATAAAAGGAATAAGGTACTTTTATCCAAAATGAACTGTCCTGGAAGTTGTTTGGAGGCAGAAATTAACTTCCCATAACAACAAAAATGTATTGAGAACATCATTTGTCTCCGGGATTTTCTAAACTGGAGGTAAAAAACTGGCTCAAGGTCCATTACTCATAATTTCTACCTGCAAAGTCTTCTATCACAGATTTCTCTTAGGACCAATTATTGGTATAATTTGTGGCCTACAAGACTCATGAGGTACTTGACTAACACCAGATTTAGTTAACCAATGTATATTTGTTTGATATTTACACTGTATACAATAACTTTTAAAAATCTTCTCAGAAGATTTTTAAGTTGAATTTTTTAAAAACTCATTTGTCTTAGTTTCTGAAACTTATTTGACCATGGAATGTCCAGAGGAAAACATGTTAGAAAATATAAATAATGGAAGTAAATTTTTTAAAAATACTGCCAGCAGAGTCTCACTTGAAGCAGTTTTTCTGCTATTTTTCATGTTAGAAATCTATGTTAAGCAGGTGAAGTTGAAATTAAAGCATTTTGTTGGATTGGGTTGTGTAATTTCTAATCATGTTGCAAAATTTATTTTCATTCTTTTTTCTAGTATGAAAAAGTTCGAATATACAGAATGGATGGATCATACCGTTCTGTTGAACTGAAGCATGGAAATAATACCACAGTGCAACAAATAATGGAAGGAATGCGTCTCTCTCAAGAAACACAGCAATATTTTACTATTTGGATCTGTTCAGAAAACCTCAGTAAGAAAGTTTTTATTTTGTTGTGTAAACCTCATTATTCTTTTTTGAGAGTGGGTTGGTAAATTTCAGTATAATATCAGTTTATTACTGACTTTTAAATTTTGAAATGATACAGTGTTCTCTTTTATATAAATTATCAGTGCTTAAACTGTTGAAACAGATAAACCTCTGGGCCCAACCTCTCTTCCTACCCCCACTTTATTCAAACAATGTTTTAAGTGGTAAAAACAAAAACATTTCTTCTCTGGCAATGGAATTTGATTTGAATGCCATTAAACATGGTGCTCATTCAACTTGCCTTTATTTTCAGTGCTCAAAATAATACAAAAATTTTTTTCTTATTTTCTTTCAGATCTTTTTATTTAAAATCAATCTAATATCAAAAAAAAAAAATCAATCTAATGTCACTATAGATTTGTCTCTCAAAGTATTGCAAATATATAAAGGATTTAATTGAGGTCGTTGTGATTTGTTATCGAATGGTTTCACTTTATTTTTTTAAATCATATACTACTGATTGTATCATAATTAAATAGTCTGTCATGGAATTAAGGATCTGAAATAGATTTAATAAATTTTATTTCTTTTAAGAATTCTCATAATACTTATATTCTTAAAAACAAAGGCAATATTGATTTAAATTTAGGCTTTATTTGTGTGTACTCACTATTTAAGTGCAAAGAGTTTAATACAAAGTTTCTGTGCATTGATATAATTGATTTATTTTTACATTATCATTTATAAAAGGAAAGATGTTTTTCAGGCCTTCAGCTCAAACCTTATCATAAACCCTTGCAACATGTTCGGGACTGGCCAGAAATACTTGCTGAATTGACTAATTTGGATCCTCAAAGGGAAACACCACAGCTTTTCCTAAGAAGGGACGTGAGACTTCCTTTGGAAGTTGAAAAAAAGGTTTGCTTGGAAATCTTATTTACAGTCATGTAAAATGTACAGAATGTATTGAATTCCTGTAGTAAATACTAGAGGTAGATATTGTGCTCTTCCTGTACAGGTGGGATTTACTTCTGTTTTTCTGTTCAGTCCTTACATCCCTTTGGTAAGTGGTAGAATTAGAGTCAGACTGCCTTATAAAGCCCCTGGATGGCCCTGGCTGCTCTGGATCAGTGGTGAGAGCATCAGCCCGAGGACCAAAAGGTCATGGGTTCGATTTCGGTCAAGGGCACGTACCTCGGTTGCAGTTTGGTCCCCGGCCCTGGTTGGGGTCATGCAGGAGGCAGCCAATTGTTGTGTCTCTCTCACATCAGTGTTTCTCTCTCCCCCTCCCACTCTATCTGAAGATAAAATAAAAAAATATCCTCAGATGAGGATTAAAATATAGATATATACATACACACACACACACATAGCCCTGGTCAATTTGGCTCAGCGGTTGGAGCGTCGACCTGCAGACCAGAGTCCTGGGTTCAGTTCTTGCTAGGGGCACTTACCAAAAAAATTTATATTTATATAAATTTTATATAAATTAATATATATTACTTTATATTAATTAAATTTATTTTATTTATAAAATTTATATAAGTTAAATATGTTTATATATACACACACATATATGTGTGTGTGTATAAAGCCCCTGGTTGGGTTTTCTGTTTTTACCTCTCTTGTCTTAGAATGTAAAAGAAATAAGAGAATATATCCTAAAGAGAATTACCAACCAGATGGAAGACAAATTATATTTAAAAAAATTTTTTTAGCAGAGTTAGGAAGTATAATGTCAAAGATAAACTTAATAAAGGGCTAATCAGATGTGTATATTTCAAAGGAGCAAAGAGATACCTTGGTGTTGGGGAGAATAGAAAAGAACATACTAAGATCAGAAGATTATGTTTGCAAAGAGGACATAAAAAATTTTCGATAGTAAGTAACTATTCTCAACTCAAGCAGAGAACTATATAGATACTAAAAAAAGAGAATACAATTTACATTTGATAAAAAGATATGTTTCAAACATGTATGTTTAGATTTTAATTAGACTATAAATGTTAGAGGAGAGGTGATATAATGCCACCTGAAGGACAAATGGACAAGGAGGAAACCTAAGGGAGATACTACAAGTTAAACTAGGTATGATAGTCTAAATACAGTGGTAGCTATGAAAATTGGGATAGGAAGGGAGTTCCAAGGTCTTATTACTATGAAAACAATATACAGTGCATTTCCTGATTCTTTATTCAAGGAAACAAGGTTAAGCAAATTTCAGCACAAGAAAATTTCAGTGACCATGTCCAAACTTGGTAAATGTTTTGTGCCTGCCTACTCATATTGTCCCTCTAAGATAGATTTGATCCTATTAGCCAAATATGCTGGAAAGTATATAAAACTTTGTATGAAATTTACCAAAAACTAAGATCTTGATTATTCATTAAAAATATATTAGAATCACAATCAACATAGCAAACTAGGAATACACAGGAACTTCCTCAATATGATAAAATAGTGGTTATGAAAAACTCACAACTAATGTCATACTCAATATTGAAAGACTGACAAACAGCATTCCTCTTAAAATCAGAAACAAGACAAGGATGCCTGTTTTCACCACTGCTATTTAACATAGTACTGGAAGTTTTAACCAGAGCAATTATTCAAGAAATAAAAGACATCCAAATAGGAAAGGAAAAACTAAAACTATCTCTATTCACAAAAGACATAAATCCTGTATTTTAGAAATCCCTAAGAATCCACAAGAAAGCTATTAGAGCTAATAAATGGATTCAGCCAAGTCGTAGGGTACATATATCAGTTGTTTCTATATATCAGCAACAAACAATCCTAAATAAGAAATTAAGAAATCCGTTTAAAAAGCATTAAAAGGGCCCTGGCCGGTTTGCCTCAGCGGTTAGAGCGTTGGCCTGCGGTCCAGAGAGACCCAGGTTTGGTTCCTGCTAAGGGCACGTACCTTGGTTGCAGTTTGTTCCCGGCCCTGGTTGAGTCGTGCAGAAGGCAGCCACTCAATGTGTCCCTTTCACGTCGATGTTTCTCTTTCTCTTCCTCTCTTCCTCCCACTCTATCTGAACAAAAAATGGAAAAATGTCCTCAAGTGAAGATAAAATATATATATATATAAAATAAATAAATAAAAAGCATTAAAAGGGTTCGGCCCGTGTGGCTCAATGGTTGAGCATCGACCCATGCGCCAAGAGGTTGCCTATTCAATTTCTGGTCAGGACACATGCCCAGGTTGTGGGCCAGATCCCTAGTGGGGGCATGCAGGAGGCAGCCAATCGATGTTCTCTCTCATTGATGTGTGTCTCTCTCTCTCCCCCGTCCTCTCTCTCAAATTAATAAAGGGGAAAAATATATTTTTTTATCCTCACCCGAGGACATTTTTTCGATATTTTGTTCAGATAGAGTGGGAAAGAGAGAGAAACATGGATGTGAAAGGGACACATCGAGTGGTTGCCACCCACACTACCCAACCAGGGCTGGGACAAACTGCAACTGAGTTACATGCCCTTAGCGGGAACCGGACCGCAGGCCAACGCTCCAGCCACTGAGCCAAACCGGCCAGGGCGGGGAAAAAAATTTTTTTTAAAGTATTAAAAGGCCCAGCCAGTGTGGTTCAATTGGTTGAGCCTCAGCCCATGCAGCTGGAGGTCGCTGATTCAATTCCCAGTTGGGGCACATGCTCAGGTTTTGGGCTTAATCACCAGTAGGGGATGTTAAGGAGGCAACCAATCAATGTTTCTCTCTCATTGATGTTTCTAGCTCTCTCTCCCTCTTCCTTCCTCTCTCTCAAATCAATAAAAACATATTTTAGAAAAAAGCATTCAAAGAATAAAATATTGCCCTGGCTGGTTTTGTACATTGGTTAGAATGTCAGCCCTTGGGTTCGATTCCCAGGCAAGGACACATTCCTGGGTTATAGGTTTATCCCCAGCCCTGTCAGGGTCATGTGGGAGGTGACCAATCTATGTCTCTGTCTCACATCGATGTTTTTCTCTCTCCCACCCTCCTTACCACTTGGTCTAAAAATCAGTGGAGGAATATCCTCAGGTGAAGATTAACAAACAAACAAAAAGTATAAAATATCTAAAACATTTAACAAAAGAAGTGCATGACCTGTATAACAAAAACTACCAAAAAAAAATTAAAGAAGACTTAAGTAACTGGGAAAACATCCCATGTTCAAGGATAAGAAAGTTTAATATTGTTAGATGATACTAGCAAAGTGATCTACCAATACAATGCAGTCACTAACAAAATTCCAATGGCATTTTTTGCAGAAAAGGAAAAGGCAATCCTCAAATTCATATGGAACAGTAAAGGGCCTTAAATAGCCAAAACAATCTTGAAAAAGAGAATAAAGTTAGGGGATTCACATTTCCTTATTTGAAAACATACTAAACTATAAAACTTTTAGAAGAAAACATAGGTGAATTTTCATGACCTTAAATTTGGCAGTGGATTTTTTGTAGATGTGACAACAAAAACCTAAAAAACAAAAGGAAAAAACTCAGATATATTGGACTTCATCAAAATTCAAAATATTGTAGCCTTGGTAGGTTCGGCTCTTGGACTAGTGTTTTGGATTCGATTCCTGGACAAGGGCATGTACCTGGATGCAGTTTCGATCCCTAGCCCCAGTTGGGGTAATTTGAGAGGCAACCAATGGATGTGTTTCTTTCACGTTGATGTTTCTCTCTCTCTCTCTCTCTCTCTCTCTCTCCCTCCCTCCCCCTCCCTCGCTCACTCTGTCTAAAAATTAGAAAAATATCCTCAGGTGAGGACTAACAAAAAAAAAGTAAAAACATTGTAAATAAAAAGATATTATCAAGTGGAAAGATAACCTATAGAATGGGAGGAAATATTTGCAAATCATATGTCTGAAAAAGGTTTAGTATGCAGAACTACTACAACTCAACAAAAAGATAACCCAATTTAAATTAGGCAAAGGACTTGAATTTAATAACATTTCTCCACGGAAGGTATACAAATGAGAAACCAGTTCAAACCTAACAAGTAGCTATAATAATAAAAATGGAAAATAACAAGTATTGATGAGGATGTAGAGAAATTAGAACCCTTGTACGTTTCGGGTGGGAGTGTAAAATGGTGCAGTCACTATGGAAAAAGAGTTTAGTGGTTCTGCAAGAAACTAAACAGAATTACCGGATGATCCAGCAATTTCACTCCTAGGTTTATACCAGAAGAAATTAAAACAAGAAATTGGATACCCGTATGCCAATGTTCAGGGCAGCATTTTATTCTCAATAGCCAAAAAGGTGGAAACAAAGTGTCCATCAACAGAACAATGGATAAAACAAAATGTAGTGTATACCTATAATGAAATATCATTCAGCTATAAAAAGGAATGAAGTTCTTACACATGCCATAACATGGATGAACCTTGAAAACATTATGCTAAATGAAATAAGCCAGACACAAAAGGATAAATATTGTATGATTTTACTTATATTAAATATCTAGAACAGGCAAATTCATGAAGACAGAAAGCAGATTAGTGGTTGCCACGGGTGATTGGCACAGGGAGAAAATTATTGCTTAATGGATGCAGATTTTGTTTAGGTGATGAAAAAGTTGTGAAAATAATGGTTGGTGATGGTTGCTCAATATTGTGAATATAATAAATGCCATTGAATTGTATACTTAAAAAGGGTTAAAATGGAAAAAGTGTTATATGTTATGTTTTTTAATTTTTTTCTTTATTGATTTTATAGAGAGAGGAAGGGAGAGAGAGAGAGAGATAGAAACATCAATGAAAGAGAACATCGATTGGCCGCCTCCTGCGTGACCCCCACTGAAGATTTGGCCCACAACCTGGGTATGTGCCCTGACCGGGAATCGAACCGGCGACCTCTTGGTGCATGGATCGACGCTTAACCACTGAGCCACACCAGCTGGGCTGTTATATGTATTTCAAGACAGTTTTTTTGTTTTTGTTTTTGTTTTTTAAATCCTTACCCGAGGACATTTTTGCATTTTTTGTTCAGACAGAGCGGGAGGGAGAGAGAGGAAGAGAGAGAGAGAAACATCGATGTGAAGGGACACATCGAGTGGTTGCCACCCGCACAACCAACCAGGGCCGGGGACAAACTGCAACCGAGGCACGTGCCCTTAGCGGGAACCGAACCCGAGTCTCTCTGTACCGCAGGCCAACGCTCTAACCGCTGAGCCAAACTGGCCAGGGCTCAAGACAGTTTTTAAAAATGTATTAGATTCATGAAATCTATAAATCTATAAATCTTCCTTCTCCACCTGAGTAATATCTTAAACATGGGCTGGTAAAGCCCTGGCCAGTTTGGCTTAGCAGTTGGAGCGTCAGTCCGCAGACCAAAGAGTCCAGGGTTAGATTCCAGTCAAAAACACATACCTTGGTTGCAGTTCAGTCCTTGGCTCTGGTTGGGGTTGTGGGGGAGGCAGCCAATCAATGTGTCTCATATACATGTCTTCCCCCCCCACACACACACTCTATCTGAAGATAAATGAAAAAAATATATATCCTCAGGTGAGGATTAAAAAAGAAAAGTTGGTCCTTGCCGGTTTGGCTCAGCGGTTAGAGCGTCGGCCTGCGGTCCTGAGAGACCCGAGTTCGGTTCCCGCTAAGGGCGCGTACCTTGGTTGCAGTTTGTCCCCGGCCCTGGTCGGTTGTGCACGTGGCAGCCACTCGATGTGTTCCTTTCACATCGATGTTTCTCTCTCTCTCTCTCTTCCTCTCTCTCCCTCCCACTCTACCTGAACAAAAAATGGAAAACTGTCCTCGGGTGAGGAAGGAAGGAAGGAAGGGAGGGAGGGAGGGAGGGAGGGAGGGAGGAAGGAAGGAAGGAAGAAAAGAAAAGTTGGCTGGTAGAGAAAAAGAGCAATAATGATACTTAGATAATTAATTGCATAATTATTTTGTAAGTAATATAAAATGGGCTCAAGTAGGAAAAAGTAAAGCTTAGTAAGTACTTAATGTTAATATCACCTGGTAAAGTAGTTCTTTATCAAAGTGTTCTTTCACTCCTTATATAATTAAGAAATTCTTATTTGTACTAGCTGAAAAATGGAAAAATTACATTTATTGGTTAGCATCATTCTTTTGATTTATTTACTTATTTTTTATAATCCTCACCCAAGGATATTTTTCCATTTATCTTCAGATAGAGTGGGGTGCAGGGAGAGAGAGAAACATTGACGTCAGAGAGACACATCAATTGGCTGCCTCCTGCAGGACCCCAACCAGGGCCAGGGATCAAACTGCAACTGAGGTACGTGCCCTTGACTGGAATCAAACTCATGACTCTTTGGTCCGCGGGTTGATGCTCTAACTGCTGAGCCAAACCGGCCACAGCAGCATCATTCTCTTAGGATGAATGTAGCCTGATTTTATTTAAAAAGAACAATTGTTTAGCCCTGGCCGGTTTGGCTCAGTGGTTAGAGCGTCCGCCTGCAGTCCGGAGAGACCCGGGTTCGGTTCCCGCTAAGGGCATGTACCTCGGTTGCAGTTTGTCCCCGGCCCTGGTTGGTCTGCGGGTGGCAGCCACTCGATGTGTCCCTTTCACATCGATGTTTCCCTCTCTCTCTCTTCCTCTCTCTCCCTCCCACTCTGTCTGTACAAAAAATGGAAAAATGTCCTCGGATGAGGATTAAAAAAAAAAAAGAACAATTGTTTACTAATACTCACTGAACATACTATTAGGAATTATAACTCAGCTGAGACTCTTTAAATTTACTAAGTCAATTTTTATTAGAAAAATGATTTCTTTCTGTTATCTAACATTTTTATTTTAACACATTAAAACCCATAGGAAAGTTGAAAAAGAAAATATATACCATATACCATTCATTCAATCACTAATTGTTAATATTTTGCTACATTTGCTTCATCTTTTCTCTCTTTTCTCTGTGAACCATTTAAAAGTGCGTTGCAGACATTATGGCACTTCATCCCTGCATATTTCAGTATGCATCTCCAAAGGACATACCTATGTACTGCAGTACTATTTAGAACTTAATAAAATTTTTATGTCTATAACAACATAATATCAGATTCATATTTAGATTTCTCCCAATTGTTTCAAAGTTGCTTATAGCTCCTATCTATAGGATCTAGTCAAGGTTCATACTTTTAATTTGATTATCTCTTTAGTCTCTTGTAATCTAGAAAAATTCCCTCCATTTTTTCTCCCGTGAAATTGTTTTTTATATTTTGAGTATTATATTATTTTAGTTAGTATGACAAAACTAATCTTTACCATAAGGAATTTGGATCATGTGAATTATATTTGGAAGTATTTTAAGTATTCATTCAGAAACTCTGTAATTGGTGATTATTTTCACTAGAATTATATTCTGTAGAGTAGCATTTTCTTAGTCTGTTAATCTTATAGGATAAACTGAAACTTTAAAGTTTTTTAAACCTAAAAAAAAAATCATATGCTTTAGTGTTATTTGAAAGTGCAAAGTATTTTTAGTCAAATAAAACATGTTTGTCCTAAACGTTTTTTTAATTTTTTTCTTTATTGATTTGAGAGAGAAATAGAAACATCGATGAGAGAGAACATCAATTGGCGACCTCCTGCATGCCCCCCACTGGGGATCTGGCCCACAACCTGGGCATGTGCCCTGACTGGGAACCAAACCAGCGACCTCTTGGTGCATGGGTCATCGCTCAACCACTGAGCCACACTGGCTGGGCTGTCCTAAACTTTTTAAAACTACACGTACCCTTCTGGGAACTAACACACTTTGTGTTTCTCTACTATATTGTATGAAGCGCAGATCATAGAAAAATATTTGAGGAATATAAAGAATTTAAGTAAACTTGTGCTACAAATTATCCATAAACTGATGAAAATTTTATTGGACTATATAAATCAGAGGTTAGCAAACTCTGGCCTATTGCTATATCTGACCTGCTGCCTATTATATATCCTGCAAGTTATTAATGGTTGAAAATTTTAAAAGAATAGTATTTCATGTCATGTGAAAATTTTATGAAATTCAGATTTCAGTATCCATGTATAAAGTGTTATTGGAATACCACCACACTCAGTTTTTGATGCAGTGTCTGTGGCTGGCTTTGCGCTAGTAGTAGTAGAGTTGAGTAATTGTAAGAGACTGTATGGCTCACAAGCTTAAAATAGTACTGTCTGGCCTTAACAGAAAAAAATTTTCAACCCCTGCTCTTAAGCAATAACAGCGTATTTATATACAAATATATGTTTACTTTTCCATATTAGATAATGACAAGTTGTACATTTGTAACAGGAAATTGTAGCTTATAACCAAACTATACTTTTTTTTTTAAGATTGAAGACCCACTAGCTATTCTTATTCTCTTTGATGAAGCCAGATATAATCTACTGAAGGGCTTTTATACAGCTCCTGATGCCAAACTGATAACATTGGCAAGTCTGTTGTTGCAAATAGTTTATGGAAATTATGAGAGTAAGAAACACAAGCAAGGTTTCCTAAAGTAAGTATTTCTTATGATGTGTGGTCTTATACTATGCTTAAGATTCAGTTTAACCAAGAAAGTTTAGAAATAAAATATTTATGCATTAGTTTGGAATTAAATACAGTCAGCCCTCTGTATTTGTGGGTTCCACATTTATAGAATCCACCAACCACAGATTGAACCCTGGAATACAGAGGGCTGACTAAGGGATTGAACATCCTCAGGAGTCCTGGAACCAATCCCCCTCAGATACCAAGGGACAACTATAATACAAGGCATGGAGTGAGAAGGGGGAGGGGAAATATGTATATGGTAAAGCATTTTTCAAGTTATACTCTCTCCAATGTTATTTTGCTTATATTTCACTATAGTTTGATAATCCTCATACTTTCTAAATTTATCTTTCTTTACTATATATTTAAATAAGTTCACTAAAATGTAAATGACTAGTAGAAAAATGTCATAAGGCAAATGCATTTAAGAATCCCACCACAAAATGTAGTTTCCTGTTGAGAGAAAACAATGAAGTTTTAGCACATCTAAAGTTTGTTTATTGTGGTTTTCAATTTTCAAAAATATGGTTATTGAAATAAGAAACATTTCTCTAAAATGAGTGATGTTGCCCTGGCCTGTTTGGCTCCGCAGTTAGAGCGTTGGCCTGCGGTCCAGAGAGACCTGCGTTCAGTTCCCTAAGGGCATGTACCTGGGTTGCAGTTTGTCCCCGGCCCTGGTTGGTCGTGCAGGTGGCAGCCACTCAATGTGTCCCTTTCACGTTGATGTTTCCCTCTCTCTCTCTCTCTCTCTCTCTCTCTCTCTCTCTCTCTCTCTCTTCCTCTCTCCCCCTCCCACTCTATCTGAACAAAATATGGAAAAATGTCCTCGGGTGAGGATAAAAAAAAAAATTTAATAAAATGAGTGATGTTAAGATTGTGGTTTTTGTTTAAAATAATTTTAGAGCTCTCTGATATTTTACAACAGTATTTTTTAGCTCAAAAATCAAGTCACTTAAAGCCTTTTGTGTCTAAATGATTATATTACTTTAGCTACTAAAGAAAATGTATTTAAAAGATGTTGGCATATTTCCCTTACAGCGAAGAAAATCTAAAATCCATTGTACCTATTACCAAATTGAAAAGTAAGGCACCTCACTGGACAAACCGAATACTTCATGAATATAAGGTAAGCTGTTTAATAGAACTAAAAAGACATTTTATAAAATAATTGAAATTTTGTTAGTATTATTAATGTTTTAAACATAGTATATAAAGCATATATATCCTAAAATTAAAATTGGATCTTCTGGATCACATGCCTGAAGCTAGAAGGAAGATATTTTTATTTTTAATAACATAGAATCTTAGTAAATACCTTTTATATGCTGGATACTGTGGTAAGAGGTAGTGATTTTAAAAATAAACATTAGTCCTGGCCGGTTTTGCTCAGCAGTTAGAGCATTGGCCTGTGGACCAATGAGTCGCAGGTTCAATTCTGGTCAAGAGCGCGTACCTTGGTTGCAGTTCATCCCGGCCCTGGTCTTGCAGGAGGCAACTAGTTGAAGTGCATCTCTCTCATGTCGACGTTTCTCTCTCTCTCTCTCTCTTTCTCTATCTCTCTCTCTCTCTTTCTTCCCCACTTCCTTCTCCCTCTCTCCTCTCTCCCCGTCTCTCTCCTTCCCTTCAACTCTATCTGAGGATAAACAGAAAAATATCCTTGGGTGAAAATTAAAAAAATAATAATGAAATAATATCTCTGTCCATGAAGTACTTTAAAAACCTGATAGAATGAGACAAAAAAATATTTTTAGACCCTGATATTTCTTTTTCTTTCTCTCTCTCCTTTTTAAATGTCAGATCTCAAAAGATTATTCTCTTGGGATAATGTCACACAATTTTACTCTTCTTTGGGGACAGCCTTGATTTTAGAAACTGCTTAGTTGACCTATTTGGATTATCAAAGCTACTTTCTCCTTTCACATCTCTTTATTTTACTTTATTTCATTTTAGAATCTTAGTACAAGTGAGGGTGTCAGTAAAGAAATGCATCACCTTCAGCGCATGTTCTTACAGAATTGTTGGGAAATTCCTACCTATGGAGCAGCTTTTTTCTCAGGACAGATATTTACGAAGGCAAGCCCCAGCAACCATAAAGTCATCCCTGTGTATGTAGGAGTGAATGTAAAAGGACTCCATCTCCTCAACATGGAAACTAAGGTAGATTTTCAACTGTTTTTGACCAGCCACATTCTGTAATATCTGAAATAACAGTACCAGCCTGCATGAAGAATCTAGAAATGGCATATATACAAGTCTATTCACTGCAGTTTAATTTTTAATAGCAAAGGAGGGCGGGGGTGAAACTAAGTGATTATCAATAGGGGTTAACATGTTAATTATAATACATTTCTACATTGAATTTCAATACCTTGCAGTCATATAAAAGAATAAAGACTATTTTAGTGTAGAAATATGTATTTGGGGGGAAGGGGAGGAGGGTGTCAATGGGAGAAAAATGAGAAATATCTGTAACAAAAACAAATTTAAAAAATTTTTTAAAAAATGTGTATTTAGTGAAAAAGCAGGGTGCTTCTGAACTATGTGTTATATGCTACCCTTTGTGTAAAAATGGTGGATGTAGATATTTATTTGAAAAAAACACTAACTCAAAGAAATATACACTACCATGTTCAATATAGCATTATTTACAATAGCCAAGATATGGAAACAACCTAAGTGTCCAACAATGGATGAATGCATAAAGAAAATGTGATTATATACATATATATATGCACAAAATAGAATATTATTCAGCCATAAAAAAAGAAGAAGAAGAAGAAGAAGAAATCTTGCCATTTGTTACAGCATAGGTGGACCTTCAGGGCATTATGCTAAGTGACGTAAGTTAGACTGAGAAAGAGAGCTACCATATGATCTCACTTATATGTGGAATATTACCAAAAAAAGTGACAAACTAATATATGTTAGTTATAGCTCTTTTTTTTAAATGGGGGCAAGTGAACAGTATATTTACATAAATACATATTACTTGTGAAACAAAAATTCTCTTGAGCCGTGGCTAGTTTGGCTTAGCAGTTAGAACGTCGGCCCTCAGCCTGAAGGGTTGCAGGTTCAATTCCAGTCAAGGGCACATATCTGGGTTGCAGGTTTGATCCCCAGCCCTGGCTGGGGTTGTGCAGGAGGCAGCTAATCGATGTGTGTCTCTCACTTTGATGTTTCTCTCTCTCCCTCCCTTCCACTCTATCTAAAATCAATGGAAAAGTATCCTTGGGTGAGGATTAACAAAACAAAAAAGTCTCTTGATTTAGAGTAGGGAACCAGGAGACCAGTAACGAGAGTAGGAGGGAGACTTCACTCTATGCCATTTGCAACTTAAAAAACATTTTAACTATGATTATTACATATTTTAAAAATCAATTAGATTTAGCCCTGGCCAGTTTGGCTGAGTGGTTGGAGTGTCAGCCCGCAGACCAGAGTCGCAGGTTTGATCCCTGGCCCCAGTCGGGGTCATGTGGGAGGCAACCAATCAATTTGCCTCTCTTACATTAATCTCTCCCTCTCTTTCCCCCTCACCCTCCCTTCCTCCCACTTTATCTAATAATCAATGGAAAAATTCCCTCGGGTGAGGATGGAGAAAAAATAATAAAATAAAATAAAAATCAACTAGATTTCAATGAAAAGGACACATATTGGAAGAGGAAAATATATTATCTGACACAGAAGCTTCATTTGAAAATCAGAATTAGTTATTAAACCTTTTGGGGGCACAGGATGAAGTATGGAAGGGATTAGGAATACTCATGGAATACGTCAGCTTGTTACTGTGTTGTGCTCCTTTTTCCAATCAGTCACTGTAATATAAAATATGGGGTCATCAGTTATTTTTAGCATATCTAACACATTTTACAGGATGATCAGCTTTCTAGTTTGTATAGGAAGCTAATAAAAATCAAATATATTTTGTTCATTTAGATTTCCGGAGAATAGACCATTTTCCAAGTCAGTTAAAGTAATAACTAAGCTTATGCATTCAAAAAGGATACCTTAGGAAATTTCATCATAAACCTAATTTTTATTTTCATCATTTTTATGTCTTTACTATGTAATCATATAATTCTGAAAGTATCCTAGTTGTAGAGAAATGGCAGGGATAGTTGAGAGCAAAAAATGGAAAACCACAGAAGTCAGAAATACCACACAGCTCACCAGGACAGATAAGAGAAATTGTGATGTTGACAAGTGACCACAAAAAATGGCATTATGTGGGTATTTACATGAGCACTTTTACTTCAAAGGGGCGTTATGGTCAACATAAATTGACAACAACAAAGAGCAATCTATGCCTGGGTGTGGCATAGAAAATATCCTCACCTGAGGATATTTTTCCACTTATCTTCAGATAGAGTGGGGGGAGGAGGGGAGACAGAGAAAGAAACATTGACATAAGAGAGACACATCGACTGGCTGCCTCCCAAATGCCCCTGACCCGGGCTGGGGATGGAACATGCAACCAGGTACATGCCTTTAACTGAGAATTGAACCCGTGACTCTTTGATCCGTGGACTGACGCTCTAACCACTGAGAAAAACCAGCCAGGGCCCATGTAGAGTTTTAAATGCAAGTGAAATTATTTTTGTACATAAATATGTTTAAGTAAGCTTGTCAAATTCAACTCTAGCAGATGTTAGTGAATCTAAGACAAATGAGGACAAGCTGATTGCTCCCACCTGTGATGATTAGACAGTGTGATCATTTAGAGCTTTCATAGGTGCTATAAATTTATCACTGGCTTATAGAGTACAAGATAATGATTATGTAGACAGAAAACATCATTACCCTTGGGTTCAGTCATCTTTTTATATTCCCAAGCACAGCATTTCTATTTATATTTCTAGAAATTGAACACCTTATCCTGAAAAAGCAGACTGTAAACGAATATTGTTATCATCCTTACCCTAGCTGGTTTGGCTCAGCAGTTAGAGTGTTGGTCCAAGAACCAAAGAGTCACAGGTTTGATTCTGGTCAAGAGCAAGTACCTCGGTTGCAGTTTGATCCCTGGTCCTGGTCAGAGTCATGTGGGAGGCAACCAATCAATGTGTCTTCCTCATGTTGATGTTTCTCTCTCTCTCTCTCTCTCTCTCTCTCTCTCCCCCCCACTCTATCTGAAGATAAATGGAAAAGTATCCTCAGGTGAGGATTAAATTAAAAAATATGTACTGAGCCCAGCCGGTGTGGCACAATGGTTGAGCATCGACCCATGAACCAAGAGGTCACCAGTTCGATTCCTGGTCAGGGCACATGCCCAGGTTGTGGGCCAAATCCCCAGTGAGGGACGTGCAGGAGGCGGCCAGTCAATATTCTCTCTCATTGATGTTTCTGTCACACTCTTCTCCCATTCTCTCTCTCTAAAATCAATAAAGGAAAAAAATTATTTTTAATATATTGTTATCATCCTCTGCCTGATACTTTTATCTTACTCAACTCCTAGACCAGAATAGTATTCATAATATGAAATGGTATAAAATATTGCCCAACCATCATTTGAATACCAAAAGTCAAACATAAAGTACATCATAGAGAAAAGGCTCAGTGTTACACCCACAACATTACCATCTAGTTCAATGAAAAAGGATTTGTAGACAGTGGTATAAAATGCTCTGAAATAACAGAGGAAACATTTCTTGATTAAACAAATTTCAGGTGACTAATCTTCAAAAGATAGGCAATTTAACCTATTATATCTTGACTCAATGTTTCAGTGCGTACACCATGGTAAATAGCTATTTTATCATATCCTATCTATAAAGTTATATTTTACACTATAAATGTAGACAGCTATTCTTAAATAAGAATGTTTTAGTTTCCCATTATATATGATAGTCATGTAAATTAATAATACTGTGTTTTATTTACAGAACCTCACGTGTTTTTTTTTAATCTTTTTTCTTTATTGATTTTTAGAGAGAGAGGGAGGGAGAGGGAGATAGAAACATCGAAGAGAGAGAACATTGATTGACTGCCTCCTGCATGCTCCCCACTGGGGATCAGGCCCACAACCTGGGTATGTGTCCTGACCGGGAATCGAACCAGCGACCTCTTGATGCATGGGTCAACACTCAACCACTGAGCCACACCAGCTGGGCCAGAACCTCACTTTCAAAATACACTAAACCATTACTTCTATAGCATATCCTTAGTTTATTATTTACAATCAATATGTTTAAGAACTGTTAGTCATAGAAAGCTAATATTTCTAAACATACATGTTTTAAAGGATGGCATGAACACTTCATGTATACAAAGAATATATTTTTAGGGCAAGGAAAAGTTACTACTGGGAGAAAAATTATTAAAATCAAAAGAATATATTGAATGCCTACCTACATATACCATATGTTAGGAAAGTATAGGAATAGGTTGCTCTAATTTTTTTTAATAGTTCTGTTGAATTTTTGAAGGGTATATATTTAAATACTATGCGTATTTTTACAATAAATGTACCAGTATACTTATTTGCAGTGAGATGAAATTGCCTAAGTCATCATGTTACCCCCTTTACATAAATTTCAGATCTGAAAGTACTATGTGAATATTCAAAAAGTACTGAATAAAATTAAAGGAATTGTTTTAACATGCAGAAAGTAAATACTTGTAGTACATTTTATTTTCCTGAAAGTCACTGATATAATGGGCATCTTTTTTATTCCTCAGCTTTCACTGAGATATAATTGACATGTAACATTGTGTAAGTTTAAGGTGTACAACATGTTGATTTTATACACATATATTGTGAAATGATTATGATTACCACCATAGCATTAGCTGAGACTCCATCACATCATATAACTATCATTTCCTTTTTATGGTGAGAACATTTAAGATCACTTAACAACTTTCAAGTATATAGTATAGTATTATGTACTATAGTCAACATGCTGTACATTAGATCCCCAGAACTTATTCATCTTTTAACTGAAAGTTTGTATTCTGTGACCAACATCCCTTGTATTTCCCCCATCTGCCAGCCCCTTGTAACCACCTTTACTCTCTCTGAGTTTGGCTTTTTTAGATTTCATATACAAGTGATATATAGTATTTGTCTTTTTCTGTCTAATTTCACTTAATATATTGCCCTTAAGTTCCATTCATGTGGTCACAAATGACAGGATTTCCTTATTTCTCATAGCTGAATAATATTCCTGTGTGTGTGTGCATGCATACGTACACATAAATACCACAGAATGAGCATCTTTAAAATTTTTTGTCAGCCCTGGCCGGTTTGGCTCAGCGGTTAGAGCGTTGGCCTGCGGTCCGGAGAGACCCGGGTTCGGTTCCCGCTAAGGGCACGTACCTTGGTTGTAGTTTGTCCCCAGCCCTGGTTGGGTGGCAACCACTCGATGTGTCGCTCTCACGTCGATGTTTCTCTCTCTCTCTCTCCCTCTCACTCTATCTGAACAAAATATCGAAAAATGTCCTCGGGTGAGGATTAAAAATAAAAATTTTTTTTGTCAGTGTGATAAAAAGATATTGCTTGAGGCAGTATCCTGAGAGCCTGCCATATATATAGCTCTGTACTGTGTGTGGTTAATATTTAGCTTTTTTTGAATAAGTTTTATTCTGACATTAGACCTGACTTAGATAAGTGTAGAAAATTGGTGTTTTTAACATATTTTAATACAGTAATTTTTAATTATGTTGCAGGCTTTACTCATTAGTCTTAAGTATGGCTGTTTTATGTGGCAGTTGGGAGATGCTGATACATGTTTTCAGATCCATAGTATGGAAAATAAAATGAGCTTTATAGTACACACAAAACAGGTAAGTATTTACCAATTATTCTGGACTTCTAATAATAAACTACTATATTAATAAAATTATTTTTTTATAAAATGACAGTCCATTTTACTTCAAGGAAAACTGCTCATAGGACATGAAATTAAGACCAAGAGAAAAAAAAGCAGGGTCTTCCTAAGCAAACAAAGTTAGAAACTTATCTGAAAATTTATTTCAGTCTTATAATACTGAAACTCTCTTCTGCCATTATAAAAAATTCTGGCCATTATTGCCTATCTCTTCTGTCAAGGTTTTGGTGGACCTTCCCTGTTCTTGGTCAGTAGCTTATCTGAGCCACAAGTTGCTTTCAGCAAGTCGTTTCTTAAATCTCTTCAAAAGCCAGAAATATTCTATATTGACAAGCTGTCCCCTGATAAGAAAGTTCCTTTTCAAATAGCTGGAGAACTGCCCATTGCCATGTATCTTATATACTCATCTAAAATGTCTCATATTTATTGTCAACATGTTTTACTTTCTAGGCTGGCCTTGTGGTAAAACTGTTAATGAAGCTAAATGGACAGTTAATGCCTACCGAGAGAAATTCCTGAGAGGAAGCAACTGATACTTAAGCCACCACATTCTGTGATACAGACTTTTTCCATGAAAGATTTCTTAAACTATTACTTTTAACAAGGCACTCAGTCTCTTGTAATGTATATGTATATATTACGTTGTACAGAATCTGTACTTATGTTTGGTGTGTAATATACCAATTACTTTTATGTAATATCCTCATAAGCTATTCTAATTTTTTCAGAGAAACACAAAAAAGTGGATTGATAGTCTTTATAATATTAGACAAAATACTAAGCTTTATAAAAAGGTATTTTTTGTAAATGGTAAAGAATTTAGAGTGTAATGTGATGAAATTAAAATGCATCTAGCTTTGCTATAACTTTGTATATCATTTCAAAACATACTTGAAAGTCAACATGATTTTAATAAAGAAACATATTTTCTGCTTAAGTCATAATAACATTAATTTAAAACATTTTTCCGTAATCTGTGAACATTTCTCAGCATGGCTTTTAAAGACCTGGTTAAAATGATTTAGGATAAGCTAGTATTTTTCTAAGTATAGTTCTTGAACCCCCTATATCATAATTACCTGGGTGCCTCTTAAAAAGCAAGGATTTCAGAGACTCACTCAAAATAAATCCATTTCCTCTCTGGAAGTAGCAGGGCCTCGGAATCTTAAGTTTTGGTTAGTTTTCTGTCGAAATAATTCCAGACCCAATAATGAATTTGGATTATTAAAGTTAAGTAAATTACATAAGACTGCCTGGCACACACACACATATGTACTTACATACACAGATTAAATGACAATCTCTAGATATTCATAGTTGTATTTATTAAGTACAAGTATGTTTATGAGTTGATGTAATGATTTATTTATATTGCCCTGTAGGATGTAGGTCACCAAATATCTAGTTGCTTAATTTAGGGGAATACTCCATATCTCAGATGAGAAACTAACTTGATTAATCTGCTATTTAATAAGTTTAGAAACTAATCTTTCCAAGCTAGTAGACTGATGTGTTGTTCTAAGTAAGTTCAGAGATACAGTCATATTTAAAGTTATCCTACAGCCCTGGCTGATTTGCCTCAGTGGTTAGAGTGTTGGCCTATGGACCAAAGGGTTGTGGGTTCAATTCCCTGCTGTGGTCAGTGTCATGTGGGAGTCAACCAATCAGTCTCTCACATCAAAGTTTCTGTCTCTCTCTCTCTCTCTCTCTCTCCTTCTCCTCCCTTTCTCTCTCTCCTTCTCCTCCCTTCCACTCTATCTAAAAATTAATGGAAAAATATCCTGAGGTGAGGATTAAGAACAGTAAATAAATAAAGTTATCCTATAGATTGCAGGATTTATATATCATCATCTCTTCACATTAACATTAACTTCTGCTTTTTAAAATTTATCTTTATTGTTGAAAGTACTACAGATGTCCCCCCTTTTTATCCTCATTGACCCCCTCCACCCTGATCCTGCGCCCCTGCCCCAGGCCTTCACTGCACTTTTGCCTGTGTCCATTGGTTATGCATGTATGATAAGTTCTTTGATTTATCTCTTCCTGCTCCCCCCTCCTCCCTTTCCTCTGAGATTCATCAGTCTGTTCCATGCTTCCATGTCTCTGGATCTATTCTGTTTTGTCAGTTTATTTTATTCATTAGATTCCACATATAAGTGAGATCATGTGATACTTGTCTTTCTCTGATTGGCTTATTTCACTTAGCATAGTACTCTCCAGGTCCCTCCATGCTATCTCAATGGGTAAGAGAGCTTTCATTTTTACAGCTGTGTAGTAGTCCATTTTGTACATGTACCACAACTTCTTTATCCACTCATCTACTGATGGACACTTGAATTGTTTCCAGATCTTAGCTATTGTAAATAGCACTGCTATGAACATAGGGGTGCATATATTCTTTCTGATTGGTGTGTTTAGTGTCACTAATCATCATAGAGATGCAAATTGAAACGACTATGAGATATCACCTCACATCTGCCAGAATGGTGGCCATCAACAAATCAACAAACAACAAGTGCTGGTGAGGATGTGGAGTGAAGAGAACCCAAGTACACTGCTGGTGGGGATGCAGACTGGTGCAGCCACTATGGAAAACAATATGGCGTTTCCTCAAAAAACTAAAAATAGAACTGCCATTTGACCCAGTGATCCCACTTCTAGGAATATATACTAAGAATCCTGAAAATTCTGCTTATTTTTAATGGTGCTCTATCTGAGCCTTATTAAAATTAAGGTTATGCGGTTAAGTAAGTCTAATGATAAAGCCTTATTTAATTGTGCTAAGCACTTTTGATTCTACATAGACAATGCCCTGGTTCAGTTTCATCAGTTCCAATGTCCTCAACTTACCAAAAGCCCTGTTGACTTGCAAATCTAAAACTTCAGCCTCCACCTCCCTTCTGAACTCTAGATCTGAGTTTTCAATTTCCTGCTCTTCTAGCTCCACCTAAATGGCCTACACAAGGAACTTCAGTTTCATCATAGCTAGAAACAGAATTGTTTCATATGCTTGCTCCATTCTATACCTACACTTGTATTCTGTGATTGGTTAATGGCATTATCAAATTGCATCCAGTGTATTAACTGAAATAAAGAATAATTTACAGGGAATCAGTAGTAGAGGAGGTAAAGCCAAGAAGCAAATCATCAATGTGGAATATAAGGAAGCAGAAAACACCCAATCAGAACAGCCAAAAAAAAAAAAAAAAAGAATCCAAAAAAAAGGACAGTGTAAGGAGCCTCTGGGACAACTTCAAGCATGCCAACATTCACATCATATGGGTGCCAGAAGGAAGAGAGAGAGCAAGAAATTGAAAACCTATTTGAAACAATAATGATAGAAAACTTCCCTAACTTGATGAAGGAAACAGACATACAAATGCAGGAAGCACAGAGTCCCAACCAAGTTGAACCCAAAGAGGTCCACACTAAGACACATCACCATCAAAATGCCAAAGGTTAAATACAAAGAGAGAATCTTAAAAGTAGCAAGAGAAAAGCAGTACATTACCTACAAAGGAGCTGCCATAAGACTTGTATGTTCTCAAAAGAAACTTTTCAGGTCAGAAAGAAGCGGCAAGAGATATTTAAGGTATGAAAAGCAATGACCTACAACCAAGATTACTCTATCCTGCAAAGCTATCATTTAGAATTGATGGACTTATCAAGAGTTTCCCAGACAAGAAAGAGCTATAGGAGTTCATCACCACCAAACCAGTATTATATGAAATGTTGAAGGGTCTTCTTGAAGGAGAAGAACAATAAAAATATGAAAAACAAAATGGCAATTAATACATATCTATCAACAATCAAATCCACAAACAAAATGAGCAAGCAGAACAGAAACAGACTCATAGATACAGAGAACTTTTTGTTGCTTGCTAGATGGGTGAGGGCTGGGGGAACGGGGGGAAAAGATGAAGGAATTAAGAAGTATAAATTGGTGGTTAGACTGATGAACCTCAAAGGGAAGGGAGGAGGGTGGGTGAGATGAGATAAACCAAAGAACTATGCATATATGCATAACCAATAGACACTGACAGTAGTGTGGGGAAGGCAGAAGGGGGTTGGGATTGGGGAGGAGGGGGTCAATGGGGGAAAAGGTGGAAACATCTGTAATACATTCAACAATAAACATGACTTAAAAAACCAAATTGCATCCAGTGGCTTAGCCTGGAAATCTTGGGAGTAGTCTTCACCTTTCCCCTCTTCACCCTACACATTCCATTTATCAAGTTCTGTTCAATGTCTTGTCAGTCCTTTACCATTCCTTCCTCTGTTTGCACAGCAACCACCCTAGTTCAAGTCCTCACCATCTCTTCATGGGCTCGCTGAAGCTTCCTCCCCTGACTGAGGAGGCTGTACACCCTGCTCACCTATCTGTCACACTGGTGCCAACCTAACTTTGATTATTTCATTACCCTTTGAAAACCCTCCTCATTACATGTTGAGTTAAACTCCAATTCCTTAGTATTGAATACAGGGCCCTTAATACTCTGTCACATACCTGCCTATCCAGATTAAGTGTCTAACCACTTCTCCCACACGCATTCTGTGCTCCTTTCTACCCAGTGATTTCTAACCCTGGCTCTGCAGTCACATGGGGAGTTTGAATATGACCTATTTTAGGCTGGGGCCCAAGTTTTAAAGTATCCCATGGGATTCTGATGTATAACTTAGGGTTTAGAACTGCTGTTATTACCAGTATTAACTAGGAGATAGCTGAATGCCTTTTCTTTCATAGAGTGTGGTGATGATGCAATGATACTGCATTAAACAACTCCCTGTTCCATAGAATATAGTGTACCATCCCGGAGTTGTATAGTTTCCCTTCTCTAGAGAAGGGAAGAGAAGATTACTAGAGTCACATGACTATGAAAGGCTTAAAAATGTGTAGCGTTAAAAATTCAATTTAGGCCCTGGCCGGTTTGGCTCAGTGGTTAGGGCGTTGGCCTGCAGTCTAGAGAGACCCAGGTTTGGTTCCTGCTAAGGGCACATAACTCGGTTGCAGTTTGTCCCCGGACCTGGTTGGGTTGTGCGGGTGGCAGCCATTCGATGTGTCCCTTTCATGTCGATGTTTCTCTCTCTCTCTTCCTCCCACGCCCCCACTCTCTCTGAACAAAAAATGGAAAACTGTCCTTGGGTGAGGATAAAAAAAAATCAATTTAGGCCTGGTCAGTGTGGCTCAGTGGATTGACTGTCTCATGGACTGAGAGGTCCCAGTTCTATTCCCGGTCAGGGCACATGCCTAGGTTTCCGGCTCAATCCCCAGTGGGGGCCGTGCAGGAGGCAGCCGATCAAGGCTTCTCTCTCACATTGATACTTCTATCTCTCCCTCTCTCTAAATTTAAAAAAAAATTAAAAATCAATTTAAAAAATTAATATTGAGAACAAAATTCATTACCTGTCAGATCATAACAAGCCAGAAATAAACAATAAGAGGGAAATGTAAACAGCTTTTAATGAGTGCCTAGATGGGTCAGGCATTAAATATGTACACTGAGGATAAAAGATATCCTTTTCCTTTTCATCATTGTTTCAAGAAAGTTTGTGCCTTTTATGTGTCAAGGATCCAGTAGGAAGGAAAACAAAGTCCCTGCCTTCAGTGAGCAAAGTCTAATGAAGGACAT